CCCAGCCACCAGCTGCAGGTCCCCGAGCACCCCTTCCTCACCCCGTCCCCAGAGTCCCCCGACCAGTGGTCCAGCTCATCCCCGCATTCCAACGTCTCCGACTGGTCCGAGGGCGTCTCCAGCCCGCCCACCAGCATGCAGTCCCAGATCGCCCACATTCCGGAGGCCTTCAAGTAAACAGCCGCCGCCCCCCGGGACCCGGCTTCCTTTCCCAAGCCCCGCTGGGCGTCTGCATCCGAGCCGCGGCCGACCACGGGAGCCTTTTTAAAAAACGTGTTTTTATACAAAAATAAGAGAACAAGGACTTAAATTTCGTTGTTTTTTTTTTTTTTTAGTATTTATTTATGTACTTTTATTTTACACAAAAAATACTGCCTTTTTATTTATATGTACTATTTTCTATGGTTCCAGGTAGAAGCTTTTATCTGTTCCAAGAAAATAAACTAGTTCTCAGAATCACGATTTTTCTACTTAGGATAAAGATTCTTTACGTGTTTGTAAAATATAAACAAAGATTCATGATTTATAAATGCCATTTATTTATTGATTTCTTATTTTCATAATCCAAAAAGAAATGATGTTGGAGAAGGGAGGTCTGAACAAGCATCGTCCAAAAAGCTCCCGGGCGCCCGGCCCGCGGCCCTCTCCCCAGATGCCGCCCTCTTCGAGAAGATCCATCTAGAGACACGCAAAGGACAGATCCACACTTTTTCGGCATGTGGATCGATTTGCATCTAAAATAGGAAGCTTAAGTAAAATGATGTGGATTAGATGTTTTGGTGTTTTTCTGAAGATGTTTTTAAAGCATGCTCTTTGACGATGTGCTCTTGGGGTCCGTCCGCCAAGACTACATTCCATGGTACCGGTCATGAATCTTTGTTTCAGGTTCAGTATTACGTAGCTGTCCATTGGTCTCGCGAGTCTTGTTCCCTCCAGAACCACTCCGGTCCCCCTTCTTCGTATCTAAGCACCGTGTGTAGACACAGGTCGGGCGTGGACCCAGGGCGCCCACCTGGGGCGCCTGTGGAGGAGCCCTGCGCTCTTCCGTGGAGAGGCGCTGCCTGGGACGCCTGGTGGGGGCTCAGCATCTCGGCCTGCACGGCATCTTGCAGGTTCAGCAGGAGATGGACTGTCACGGCCTGGGCCCCGGCTCCCGGGACCTGACTGCTGTTGGCTCCTGTTTTTGTAGGAGACGTGCCAGACCAGCCTACAGGAGGCTCTGGAAAGCCGTGGGCTGTGTCCTCTGGTCTCCCAGCGGCCCTGCTGGCTGTCTGTGGGGGAGGCGGGGAGCCTGCTCCCGGAGGGCGGCCACCCTCCGGTCTGGGGGTGCTGGCCCAGGGGAGGGGCAGATCCTTGCGATATCAAGTATAAGCCTGTGGCAAAATAAATGTCTGTAAATACATTTTTAAAGGTGGATTTTGTTTAAAAAATCTAAATGAACAAGTCTGTGTCGTGTGTCATGCTGATGAGGGATATCAGAATATGGCTCAGCTCTGTGCACCCCGGCCCTGTGGCCCACGTGGCTGCAGCAGCTCCTGGGAGCACAGGCCGGGCCCTGCCACGTGCATGGGGGGTGCTGGGGGCAGTGCCCCCCTCCTCAGGGCAGCATCTCCCCGTCTTGCGGGGGGTGATCGAGTGCCATCCCTAGTGGGCATGACCAGACACATCCCAAGGTATTGATTCTTACTGTGTTTTATAAAATAGAGTGTAGTTTACAGAAAAAGGAAACTTTTTAAAAAAACAGTTATCTACATGCGGAACTGTAGATAATGAAAATGATGTATTTTTTTTCATCCTTTTTGTTAACTGATTTGCAATAAAAATGATGATGGTCATTCAGATTTTGCTAAACTCCGCTGTTGCCTTCGGCTCACTTTCTGGCAGGGACGGAGGGAGGACTGTCCTGCTCAGGGGGCCGGGCTTTGGGCCCCTTCTGATGGGAGTGGCGGAGAGGGTGCCCAGGCCTGGCCCATGGAGGTGTCAGGGACCACAGTGTCCCCAGAAGGTCCACGAGTGTCTGCAGCCTGCACGGGCCAGGCCTGTGAAGGGAAGTGGGGACGCAGCAGTGGGGGTAAGGGGTCTAGCAGCCTCATCTGAGGGGACTCTTTCTAGGGTGACAACACAGCTCAGGACACCTGGGAATGAATGTGGCCCTCCTGACAGCTCAGGGCTCTTGCGTCCCTCTGGGCCACAGGGGGGTGAAGGCGCCACCTACCCTGGGGATGGCCCACGGGGTCCCTGGGCAGGCTAGGGAGGAGTCTCAAGGCAGCGTCCAGGCCCCTCGGTGGGCTGGAGACCACAGTTAGGAAGGCGGCCCCAGCAAGAGGGGAAGGGAACTGTGGAAACATCTGATCAGGGCAGCACGGGGCACTGTGTAGTGAGTCTGGAAGTTTCCATGAGCCAAAGGCGGCGGACCAGGGCAGACGCAGTGTGGACCTATGGCCGTGCCCCTGGGAGTCCAGGCCCTGGCAGAGCTGGCAGCCCAGCGCAAGTGTGGGCCTCTCGGCCTGGCCCCACTCCACCAGGGAGTCTGAGGTCCCCTCTCAACTGCAGAGTGCCACCTGCCCGGGCCTGTCCAAGGACACATGTGACCCGAGACTCCCCCAGCACGTGTGGGTGCTCCGTTTCTCCCAGGCACGGTGCTGGTGCCAAGACACATGGGGGCACACTCGAGTTACCGTGAGTGGCCTGCCTGGTCTTTAAAGGGGCTGGACCCAGCCTGGATCCTGCCCAGAGAACGCCCGGCACCAAAACCGCGCTCGCAGGTTAGGTGCGGGCTCAGGAGAAGCGCAAACAGCGGCTCCAGTCCCTGTGTCTGCTTGTCTGCAGCAGCATCCACAACAGCGGAAACGCAGGCCGCCGGCTGCCGGGGTCTGTGCACGCGGGATGGTGAACGACGCAGCCCAACGCCTGCGTGCGTCCGGACGAGCTCAGCATCGAAATGCAGAGACTGAGCGGGGCGGCCGCCCTCCCCTGTGTGGGTGGCTCAGCCCATCCACTGAAGGCCTGAATAGAACCAAAAGGCCAAACACGGGAGAACTCCTGCCTGCCTGCCTGCCTGCCTGAGTGGGGATATCGGCCTTTTCCTGCCTTTGCACTCGAACTGAAACATCGGCCCTTCTCGGGCCTCAAGCCAGCTGGCCTCCAGACCGGGCCTCACACCACCGGGTCCCCAGCTTGCAGCTGCAGACCGTGGACTTGTCAGCCCCTCAGTCACAGGAGTCAACGCCCCGCCATCATCTCTTTCTCTGCATCCGCCCGTCCCCCGTTTCACATGCGTGGAGTATTCTTCTGCCATCGGAAGGAGGCAGCCCCGACAAGCACTCCAGCGGGACAGACTTGGGAACATGCTCTGTGACAAAAGCCAGACACGCAAGGCCATGTGACGTGTAATTCCATTTGCATGCAAAGTCTGCAACAGTCAAATCCACAGGGACAGGGAGCAGATTGGCGGTTCCCTGGGCAGGGGAATGCGGAGTGAATGCCTAGCAGCTGTGGGGTTTTACTTGGAATGGTGGAATATTCTGGAACTAGGGAGAGGTGGTGGTTGCACAGCACCACAAATGCACTAAATGCCACTGGACTCTTTGAAGCGGTTAATTTTATGTTCTGTGGGTCTCGCCTCAATACATTATTCTTAAAATGAAAGAACTTCCAGCAGTGTTTGAACTCCCACGGTGTTCGTTCCCACAGACGCAGCAGGGTGGGGCTCACGGGACGCCCTGGTTTTCAGGAGAACATCTCAGCTCCCCAACGTCAGCGGGGCCCCCGAGAGCCAGGAGGAACCCTACAGAGGAGTGAGGGGTCTCTGGTGTTTAAACTGCGCGAGCTGAAAATGGGGCCCTGCCCCGGTCCCAGCAGAACCATCACAGGGGCTAAACGCAAAGCAGATGCAAACGGTCGGTGACGGCTGCAGAGGCGCCACTCCTTCCAGAAGCAGTGGGCAACTGGCTGCACCCACCACGGCGGGCACCTTGTCCTCCAGACCCCCCCACCACAGTGACCCAGGCCCCTGGCGGGGGGAGGCCACAGCAGCCCCAAAGGAGGCCTGAGACATGCCTGTGTGTTCCCAGGTCCCACACCCGCTCCAGCCCTAACTGGACAGCACAGCCCGAGCCAGCTGCTCTGCCAGCCTCCACCTCAGAACAGCTCCCGCCCAGCCACTCGCGGCCCCCCAGGGAGGACACAGCCCTTCAGGCGCTTCCCCGGGAGCCAAACTCAGCCAAGATGCCCCTGGCTTGAGGATTCTGCTTTGGGTTGAACTGTGTCCTCCCCCCCCCCACATTCTTATGTTGAAGCCCTAATCCCCACGACCTCGGAATGTGACTGCATTTGGAGATGAGGCCTTTACAGAGGTCACTGAAGTGAGCTCATGAGGGTGGACCCCAATCCAACAGGACTGGTGTCCTCGCCAGGAGTGGAGAGTAGGACGCACACGGGTACAATGGCAGGGCCATGTCACCATCAAGGCTCAGGGAGAAGACAGCATCTGCAGGCCAAGGACGGAGGCCTCAGAAGGGCCCGACCCTGCTGACACCTTGATCTTGGGAGTCCAGCCTCTGGGGCCGAGAGAGAACCCATTGCTGTCGCTGGAGTCCCCAGTCTGTGGTACTTTGTTACAGCGGCCGAGCAAACTCACACACGTCCAGGTTACCTCCTGGGTGCCCTACACCTGTCCCAGGGCCGCAACCCCGGCAGCACCAGCCAGCAGGTCCAGACATCGCTGCTGGCTCCCAGGCACTGTCCCTTCCTCGGTGCTCACACCCCTGGGATCTGTCAGCCTGCAGCTGTCCATACTCGAGACACAGGGTGTCAACACAAGAGTTGCCCCCGCCCTGCGGCTCCCTTCCTTCATGACTGCTGGTGAGACGGGGAGGAAGAGAAGCTTCCTTCGATGCCTCAGGACGCTTGAGAGCAGCTCTGTCCAGCAGAAAGACAATCGAAACCAAGCATGTGATTCTAAATACTTCAGTAGCCACGTCAAAGAGGTAAGCAAGACACACATGGAGCTTATTTTAATAACACATCTTAGTTAATCCAATATACCAAAATATGGGTCATTTCCACACGTAACCAATATAAATATTCGAATGTGATATTTTACATTGTTTGGGTTTTTTTTTGGACCATGTCTTTGAAATCCAGTGTGCATTTCACTCATAGCACACCTTGGTATTTTCGGAGGCCAGTGACCGCATGAATCTCACGGCTACTGTGTTGGAGAGTGCAGGCTTAGACCTCAAAAAAATGTCAAGGGGACCTCCAGGCACCTGTCTCCAGTGAGGAAAACACAAGGCACATCATGGCGTGTGTCTGGCTCCGTGTCGTTGCCAAAGCAGAGAAGGCGCCTGCAGGGACACACCACCACAGCCACAGGTTCAGCCCTGGGCAGGGCTGCCCGGTGCAGGAGGGGAGGGTTGTAGCCCTTCGGCTGCTCAAAGGGTCAACAGCCCACTGCTTCCTTCACCCACAAAGTCTCCCTTCCAGGAATCGCCCGTGAAACTAGACTGTGTGCCCAGCGGTGGAGCTGATTCTCATTCTGTGTGGTTCTGAATCTCACTGTGGACCAACTGTGGCCTGGCCCAATCCACAAACCACCCGAGGAGCTCTGCAGGAGGGATGGGGCTGTCACACAGACCAAAGAGGGAGAGCTCCACATGTGGCTTCTCAGGGACTGCCCCCAACAGAAGTCCTTGGCAAAACACCAATATGTTATTCTGCAAAACTAATTTGAAATGAAACCTAGACAGGGTGATCCAGCTTGGCCGCTAGGCGACCGTATCCCAAAGAGTGACTGGTGGAGGTTCATGGGTTTGGGAAGCCCTGGGTCTGGGAGAAACAGGATCTCCACTGCAGGACTTCTCAGGCCCTGAGGACTCGTGGGTAGCAGGAGTCTCTACGGTATGTGCAGGGTTTCCCAAATGGACCTATTCTTGGGCCAGCGGGACACATTCTGGGAGATGCTGTTCCTTGCATCTGCAGTGTAAAGATGGCTTGAGTGCTGCCACGCTAGTCCACCCCGATGTCATTCCTGACTTTTGTTGTTTTGTGTTTCCACCTTCCACTTGGCAGCTGTTGGGCTGGAGGTAACTGTACATTAGTGTCCTTGTGGGCAGAGAGGGGACCTTTCTAGGCCCGGCAGCAGCCCTTCAACAGGCGCTGTTCCCATCACACATTCAGACAGAGAAACCCAGGCTCCAGGGGGTTGCAAGTCTGCTCGACCACAGCTCTGCTCACGCACAACAGGCGCCGAATGTGTGAAGTGCCTCCGACACAGATTTTTGGTGTTCTTTACACAACCTTGAACTTGTGGATTGTTCCTAATATCTTAAAAAAAAAAAACCAAAAAACAAAAAAGCCTTAGAAAAGTGTGTAACCTTGAGTGACTCATTTCTTCCCTACCAACTTGTTTCCTTACTGGGAAGAGAAAGGGTACTGACCTGGAGCGACATCCTCCCCGGCCACACCTGGCCACGCTGCCCACCAGTGGCGCCCGTGGAGGTGAGATGAAACAGAACACAGAGCCTCTATGTTACAGAGCAACATAGTGGTGGGGTTCAACCACAGAGCTTGAAAAAGCAGCATTCTCTGTCATTCCAATACAGTCAGCTCCAGGAGCACTGGCGAAGCACCTGCTGTCTTCGGTAAACCCTGCGCCGCAAAAGTGCAGAGGTATCGCTGGAGGAAGGCTGCAGACTGGGGGTGCTGGGGGAGCCAACACCTTCCTCTGGCTGCAGTGGGACCAGATCCCGAAGGAGCCCCAGGGCTCCTGTTGCAGAGCCCGGAGCGGCCCTGGGCGGCCCAGCCCGACAACTAAGGCAGCTCTCTGCCGCCCCCTAGTGGCGGCACCCCGCAAGTGCCCCTTTGGCAATGCCTGGCCCAGGGGTGGGGAACTTGTGGCCTTACTGTGGCCTTCTAGGTCTGTAAGCGAGGCCTGGATCCAAATTTTACAGAACAAATCCTTTTATTTTTATTAATACATTTTTGTCTTTTATATTTTTACTTTGTTTTTAAAATGAATGTATTCAAAACACCAAAGAATAAAATAAGTTTCAACAAAATAATCCTCCCAGAGTGACCGGCACAATTAGAACATTAGGAAGCCACAAGAGCCAAATTGACAGCTCCTATGCTCATAATTTACTTCTAACTTCCCCCACCTGACTGGCGTCACTACTGCACGAGGCTGGTTGGCAAGAGTTTATGGGGGTCCAAACAATAAATGTTGGCGTGGTTGCGGAGAGAGAGGAACACTCCTACACTGCTGGTGGGACTGCAACTAGTTTCAACCTCTGTGGAAGCAATATGGAGATACCTTAAAGCGTACAGTAGATCTACCATTTGATCCAGCAATTCCATACTGGGCATCTACCCAAAAGATCAAATGACACTCTACAAAAAAGACACCTGCACTCGAATGTTTATAGCAGCACAATTCACAATTGCAAAGTTGTAGAAACAATCCAAGTGCCCATCAATACATGAGTGGATTAATAAATTGGTATATGTATTACCATGGAGTACTATTCAGCTTTAAGAAACAATGGTGATATAGCACCTCTTGTATTTTCCTGGATAGAGCTGGAACCCAGTCTGTTAAGTGAAGTATCTCAAGAATGGAAAAACCAGCACCACAAATTGGTATTAACGGATCAACACCTAAGTGGACATACAGAAATAACATTTATCAGGGTGGTGGGAGAGGGGATGGGTATATACCAGGCGTCCTCAAACTACGGCCTGCAGGCCACATGCCGCCCACCTAGGACATTTATCCGGCCTGCAGGGTGTTTTGCTGCAGCTGCCTGTCCTGCTTAGCAGCCGACTCATCCCAGGCCCACAGTGCACACTCTCCAACAGTCTGAGGGACAGTGAACTGGCCCCCTGTTTAAAAAGTTTGAGGACCCTTGGTATATACAAACACAATGAGTGAGATGTGCAATGTTTGGGGGATGGTCATGCTTGAAGCTCTGACTTGGGGGGCATGGGCAATATACATAACCTTAACATCTGTACCCCCATAATATGCTGAAATTAAAAAAAAAACTAAAAAAAAAAAAAGAGTTTATGGGAGTTGAGTACGCCAGTCAGTTATCAGCCTTTTACAATGGTGCACTGTGTTTCTGTTTGAAGTGGAATTTGTGAATAGTTGCACAGCTTGACAGTATTTTTTAATTCCGTCTGCTTAACAGTCCATCAAGTCAAAGAAGACCAAGAGAACGCTGAAGGAAGAAAACAGATTTTTTAATGATAGGGAAGTGCAATACTATCTTATTTTTGCTCAAGATAAGATGATTTGGGCCCAGCGTGGTGGCTCACACCTGTAATACTAGCACTTGGGAGGCCGAGGAGGGCGGATTGCTCGAGGTCAGGAGTTCGAAAACCAGCCTGAGCAAGAGAAGAGACCCCCGTCTCTACTATAATAGAAAGAATTAATGGCCAACTAAAATATATAGAAAAAACTAGCTGGGCATGGTGGCGCATGCCTGTAGTCCCAGCTACTCGGGAGGCTGAGGCAGGAGGATCGCTTGAGCCCGGGAGTTAGAGGTTGCTGTGAGCCAGGCTGACGCCACGGCACTCACTCTAGCCTGGGCAACAAAGCGAGACTCTGTCTCAAAAAACAAACAAACAAAAGAAGATGATTTGCTTGCTTTGTGATACTCCAGTATCACCATTAAAGAAATTCAATGCTCATCAGCATTATTAACACTCATAAGGACCACAAATATTTTAAATTAGAGGGAGAGGCACAAAAGGTTGTATTGCAGAAATTAAAAGATGAAAAGCAAAAGCAAAGACAGTTCTTTCAAGCAGCAATAAGACCTGGAAATAATGCCACTGACTCGACTTATAAAGTAGCTTATATACTCAGGGGAAAAAAGGGATGCCATTCAGTGATGTAGGAATTGTGATAGAATGCACTGTCCAAGTTGTAGGATGCTTAGACCCCGATAACGTCTCAAAGTACAAACAATTGCCTCTTTCAAGGAGAAACATAACTGATCAGCAGTATGAATTAGCCTTCAACTTAACAGAACAACTTCATGCAACATTTCATTTGGGTCATAACAAGATTTTCTTTGCTACGAAAAGTTACTTGACTTTGGGCACTCTTGGGAACAAAAAATGGGGAATAGATGATCTTCAACAACTTTCAAGATAAATGTGAAGTTGGACTGAATTTGGTAAATTTAGTGAGTGTACGTATAAGCATACACTCATTGTGTCTTGCATCAGCAAAATCTCTGTGCTAAAGCTATTTTAAGTGACACTTTGCAACAAGTTATAAGTATTGTTAACTGTATTGGTGCAAGTGCCACAGGGCAGCATGAGTTTTGTAACATGCTAAAATTGAACAATGAAGTATTCAGTGTGGATTTGTTGTATCATTCTAAAGTGTGTTGGCTATCTTAGGGACGGGGGTCAGCCAAAATTTCATCTCTGCAAGAACAGATAGTTGAATTTTATGAAGAACATAATCAGCAAAGTGAATTATTGAAAGAAGATTTCTATAGGAATACAGTATTTCTGTGTGATATGATGTCAAATCAAAGCAACTTGGATATTTCTTTGCCAGGTAAAGATTAAGTCCATGTATGACACGCGGCAAAAAATCCAAGCATTTCAAAAAAAGCTGTCTTTTTCAAAATACTTCTTCTTCAAAAGGAAATTTCAGATGAACATTTTCCGCAGTTAACAAAGGTCACTGATTAGCAGGATGATATATACGAATCATTTGAAGTATACGCAGCTGTTATAGACCTATTAATTGGAAAATACAATGACAGGTTCACTGACTTTGAGAACAGTGATGTCACACCCAAATTAGCATTTCAGCCTCACCGAGTTGATATCACGAAGGCACCTAAAGAACTACAGATGGAATTGACTGAGCTCTCAGTAGATGGTATTTTAAAGTCATTGTTTGATGCTAAGAAAGATCCAAATGAAATGTGGAAAAAAGCAGTGGAATACCCAGGCCTCCAGCAACACGCCTGAAAAATGCTCTTGCTTTTCAGCCACTGATTGCTGCGAATCTACATTCTCCCACCTGACCCAGATCAAGACGCCCTTGAGGTCACAGATGACTGACACCCACCTAGAGAATCAACTGAAACTGCAGACCTCCATGCTACAACCAAATATTCAAATAATTTCCAACAAAAAGCAGACACAACAAAGTCATTAAAAGGTTACTTAACTTTAAAATTAACAAATATGATCATTTTCATTTTTTGAAATCATTTAGTAATTAGACTTTTACAAAATGATGTACATTTCTAAGTATATCTAATTGAAGTTACTTGAATGCAGCCTTATTTGATTACAGCTAAATTAATGTGGCTTCCAACATGAAAAGGCTCCCCGCCCCTGACCTTGTCCCCTGGAGACTTTAGGTGAGGCTCCAAGTTTTACAAGTGCCTCACCTAAGGCTCACGTTCATCCCTTTCGACAGCATTATTATTTCCTCCACTTTTAGTGATGATGACAACTGTCAAAGCAGCGTCTTTTTCAAAATTTTATTTTCATTTTTTGTAGAGACAGGGTCTCACCATGTTGCCCAGGGTGGCCTGAAACTCCTGGCCTCAAGTGATTGTCCCACCTTGGCCTTCCAAAGCGCTGGGATTATAAGCTTGAGCCACCATGCCTGTCCTCCACAGCATTGCCCTGCTCTGCAGGTAAGGAAGCTTAGGCTCAAAGGGGTTAAGTGACTTCGCCACGTTCACCCATCACAGCTGGAGCCCTGTGACTCCCAGGTCCATGTCCTGATAACCATATGGGTGGGTCACCTCCCCTCAGAGGACTGGGAGGACCTGTAGAGCCTATGTCATCCAGCCTTGTCATCTTTCAGACGGAGAAACAGATGCTCAGGGAGGAGCTTGTCAGTCACCTTGCCAGGAGTTAATGCTGTGGCCAGCCTAGCAGCAGATACTGGAGCTATTCCCAGCTACACCTGGGGCTTCTTCTCTTCCCTAACCAACTTAAATCACCACCCAATGTTTAGGCCTCTTGCCTTCCTGTTGGGCTTATCTACTTGGCTGATGTGTGTGAGCCCCTGTGCTGTGCTGGGGGCTACAGGTACAGGTGCAGCTGCACCAAGAGAGCTGGGTCTCTGCCCTTGGAGGTCACCCAGAGCACAGCTCAACCCACCAGTCCAGTCCCAGAACACTTGTCTCTTGCCTGGGGCACACCAAGACCACCTCCTGGGCCCCTGGCTCTCCCTAGTGCCTAGCCAGAGACCTACGGGAGGCCAAACTGATTGGGAGGTCATTCCTGGCTGAAAAACCTCCAGAAGCTTCCCTTGCTTCCATGCAAATCCCTTAGCAGGGCCTATAGAACCCACGTCACCCACGCCTGGCCCCTTGCCCTGCAGAAGCTTCATATAGACTGCCCACTTCAGACAGAGAAGCAATCTTGTCCCTCATTCCTGCCCCTCCCCAGCAGCCACTGCACTGCCCCACCTGGCCTGTACCAGGCCGCCCCCCACCTGCACACCAAGTCCCACACACACACCTGCACCAGGCCCACCTGCCGCTGTCCAGGGACCATGCTCCCAGGGGCCAGCCCGGCTCCTAGCAGTGCCTGGCACGTGGCAGGGGCTCAGCTAACGTCTGTATGCAGTTTGGGGAAGGAAGACTCCCAGGGTTGGTCCAGGGCCACCACTGCTAAAGGGACACCAGGCAGTTCTTCCTGCAGCTCCAAGGATCTGTGGCCGAGTTGGTGTGAACTGGTATCTGTCTCGTGCTTTCTACTTTGTCTTTGTTGCTTATTCATCATCTTACATGGTTAGTACTTGGCACAATGATTCAAGAGAAACGCTCTCTGAGACCTACTCTGCGCCAAGCACGTTTCAGGATGCTGGAGGTGGAAGAGTGCCATGCTCACGCCGACCGCGAGGCTGCGGGTAATGCGGTCGACACACTGCACGCCTGGCCTGGGCCTCCCCCTTGCCATCCTGTGAGGATGGTTTCAGGAAGTCCTCAGAGGTGGCCCAGGACAGGGAGAGACCATCACCTTCCTTAATGAGCGAGGAAACAGAGGCTGGGAGAGCCCAGGTAGCTTGCCCAAGGCTGTACACCTGGGTGGAGGAGGGGCTTTGGGGCCCCGTTCACCTGCAGCCCATGCAGGGGAACATCTGCCAGGGTTGGGCTTCCCTTCAGTACCACATCAGCCCTGGAAAGGCCCGGACAGAGCAGACGTGCTAGCTTGCTCCATGCCCCCAGCAAGCACGCACAGAGGCTCAGAGATGAGTAAGAGCAGTGACAACATGGGCACCTGTCTGAGGCCCTGTGCCGTGTGCTTGGCAGGCCTTTCCTTGTGACCTCGAGCACATGGAGGCCAGAGGGCCTGGGGCTTCCTGCACACTGCCCACCACGCCCCAGAGGTGCCTCCGTCTCCTCACACTCCACCTGGCCGCCCTCCAGCCAACCTGGGTGGCACACAGACAGGGCCCCACGCTGCAGGCACCTGCTGAACAGAGGCCGAGAACAAGCTCTAAGGCACAGCTACCTCTGCCTCCCAACCTGCTTCCTCTGCAGCTTCTGCGTCCTGGCCCGAGAGGCTGTGCCAGGGGCTGAACACAGGGCCAGGCGTGGAACTGGCCTGCCCCGCAAACTCCACAAACCACAACCACCACTTGTGGCTGCTACTTTACACCCGGTAGGAGTGAGCGGCAGAGGCTCACAGGGAAGGGCCATCCTGCCCTCACTGTGACTGCTGCCCCTCCCTCATGGGTGGCAGGGTTTCTGGCACAACCTCGATGTACACAAGCCCTGTGTCCTGTGTGCTCTGCACAACGTTCCACAGCGGTGGTCACGGAACTTTGTTCCCGGCCCACCTAGGGGAGCTTCAGGGAGGTGATGATATTTGTTTCCAAACTCCACGTGTGAGCTGGGGAGTGGGGGGATTGGGAGAATGGAGAGACCAGTGGACATTGCAGCCAAAGGGAAGCCTAACCAGGAATGACAGCCATGGCGGCAGGGCACCTTCTAGGCGCAGGCCCTGCATGTTCTGCGGCCAGAGTGACCCTACATCCCTGTTTGCCCCACACAGTCCCAGTTAATGCCTCCTGTCCTGGCATAAATACCAACGGCACCCCATTTCAGTCACCAACTGTCCAGGTGCTCACCCTGCCTCATCTCAGACATGAGGACCAAAGCTGACAAAGAACACACAGCATCTAGGTGTCAGGCTGGGCCTTAAAGCGGCGGGTCTATGGCCCAGAGGCTTGATGGGCTTGCCTGTAGGATGCAAGAGCCTTCTACTCCATGCCAGGACAGATTGGCTGTCTCCACTCTTAAGATTAGGGAGAAAACAGGGGAAGAAAGGTAGCCCAAGGCCCTTGCAGGGGACTTTGCTGACTCACTACTTTCCTTAAAGTCACCTCTAGGTCTCAAGACAATGCTGCCTTTTCAACATTCCTGCCCTGGGAGTCCTGCCCTGGGGCTTAGAGACCTTGCATTTTATTCCCAGGGCAAGGTGGGTTTCTGCAGCTTATGGTCTCTCCAAGTCAGAGGCCACCAGGGCAGGGCCACATGGCCTCCCAGGACACCAGAAGGACAAGTCCTAGGCTCCCAGCTCTAGGGCTCTCTGAATTCAACTTGAGAACAAAAAAGAGCTAGCCCTAAGCCTAAGAGAGTCCAAGCTTTGCCTCTCTGTTCCTCTGACTCTTTCGGGAATGTTTTGTGGACAAAGTGATTACAGAGCACCTCCACCACCAGGGAAGTGGATCAAGGGTGGTAGGGGCTGGTGTCACTAATGCCTCTCCTAGGTGGCCCAGGGCTGAGCCCTACCACGTGTTCCTTAACTCTGTGTTGAAACAGGTTGGGAACCTGACTCCTGAAAAGCAAATATTAGCTTAGCAGAGCGGCCCCCCTGCCACGTCAGCGGGGCTGAACTCTCCCCGCATCGCCTGGGCATCTGCCATCGTGGCATACAAACCACACTCCCTCCTTCCCCAGAATCCTGGTCCCTCCGAGACCAGCGTGCCTCCCACCCCGGGGGGGCCTCAGCCGGCCCTGGGAGCTCAGCCTGGCGCCATGCAATGAATGGCGCGCCTGCCCGCCGGAAGGAGCTGAGGACAGGCCGCTGCTCTCCCGGCTCCTTGCCAGGCAGGTGTGCAGGTGAGTGGGCCGGCCTGGTTGCCCGCATCCTCACCTGCCGAGCCTACCTTTCCAACTCCGAAGATGAGGATACAAACGACAGCACCCGCCTCTTCGGCAGGGCTTAGACGGCGCCCGGCCTGGGTGGCACCGGGGACCAGGTAAGGCGACGGGAGGGGCCGGAGGCTGACCCCACCAGCCTCGCCGGGTCTCTGGGGAGCTCGGGGGCCGCCCAAGCGCCGGGGCTCGCTCCACACTGGCGTCCGCTCGACAGGGCCAAGCGCTCCGGCCGGGGTGGGCCGGCGCGGAGGACGCGACAGACGAAGAGTGGACAGTCCCGGCGCGGCTCACGAGACCCGGCCGCGTGCGCAGTGCAGGCGGGCGCCTGCGGGCCGGGCTCCCCGCCTGGGCGGGGACGCCCCGCGACGCTCCACAGGGGGCTGCCGAAGCTTAAAACCCGCTCAGAGCGCCAGACCCGAGCCAGAAGCCGAAAGCCGTAACCAGGCAACCAGCGCGCGCCCTGCCGAGATGCGCGCAGGCGCAATCGGCCGTCAGCGGCGCTGCGCGTGCGCAGTCGCCCTCCGCCCGCCGGGCTCCGTGGCCAACGGAAGAATGGGAGGAGCGCGCACGCGTAAGGGCCGCGCGCAGGTCTCGGCCCCGCCAAGTAGCCGTCCTCGCTGCGAGATCCTGCTGGCATCAGTCCCGTAGACGGATTCTTGCCTTGGGGCTTTGGTTGAAGAATTTCGTGTCTTCTCACATCCTAAAACGAAAAAGACTAGGACAAAGAGCCAGCGCAACCAGGGCCACGGCCCGGGCGGCCTCTGCGCGCTCGGTCCGGGCAGGTGGGCGAGGGGCGGGGCCAAGGGCTGAGGCGGTGGACGGACGCTGGCGGGGGGCGGGGCCAAGGGCTGAGGCGGTGGACGGACGCTGGCGGGGGGCGGGGCCAAGGGCTGAGGCGGTGGACGGACGCTGGCGGGGGGCGGGGCCAAGGGCTGAGGCGGTGGACGGACGCTAGCGGGGGGCGGGGTCAAGGGCTGAGGAGGCGGACGAACGCCGGACGGGCGCAGCAAGGGGCGGGGTCATATGTGGGCGGGGGACAGGCGTGGCGAGGGGCAGGGCCAATAGGGAGGGACCAAGGGATGTGGCGGTGAAGGACGAACGCAGGCAAGGGGCGGGGCCAAGGGGCCGGGCGGTGAAGGCCTGAACGAGGGCAGGGGCGGGGCGGGGCGGATGCGCCGAGGGGCGTGGCGCGCGCTGACGTCGCGGCTGGACACGTCGGCGGCGCGGCGGCCGCGGCGACCGGAGCCGGATGTGCCAAGATGGCTGCGGCGGTTGCAGTGTCTGTGCTCGTCGCGAGCGCCGGGTGGGCTTTCGCCCGCGGTTCCTGAGGGGCCGCGCTGGTGAGGAGGCCAGCGCGGGCGGAGCGGGGCAGAGGCCAGCCGGCAGAGCAGGGCTGCAGAGGCCAGGGCGGGGCGGAGGGGAGGCGGCTGGGCCCAGCCCCGAACGGGTGGCGCGGCTCCGGGGACGCGGCCGGGGCCGAGGGAGGGGACTGACCCTCCGGGCCACCGAGTGCCCGCGGGGCCGGAGGCGGAGGCCGGGCGCTGCGCGGGCAGCTGGGGGCGCGGTCCATGCTGATCACTGACGTGGACCTAGCAAGTGTCCAGGTCCGGGCAGGCGCCCTCCGGGCTCAGCTGCGGTGACACTTGTCCTAGTAGTGCCTGCCTCTGTGGAGAGCTGTGTTGGAATGGCTGGACAGTCAGCCACTTCTCATGAGACCTGCAACTTTTTAAGATGAAGGAACGTTTGGGAAATTCTCTTGACAGTTAGTGTGTCCTTTACGTCGCAGGTTCCGAGGATGTTTTGTCCTCATTGGCTGGAAGACTTTTCCGTAGCAGTGCTGGTGGTGAGATAAATTTACATTTGAACCCAGGAGCAGAGTTGTTATTTGTAATTGGATGTTGCAAAGGAGGTCGAGCACCTGTGTTTTATGTCAAGGATTAGAACAATGTGTGAACTAGCTCTCCCTACTGTGATGAAAGTGTTAGAGTAGAGTATTCAGGTACATCGAAGCCATTTAAAATGACTTTTTCTACTTCACTTAAAAGCATTTTTAAATGGCTTGTAGTTTGGCTGTGGATTGCTTATTAAGATTTTTGTTTTAAATATGTACGATGCAGTTGTTGACTAGAGAGACATTTCCCATCCCCAGGTAGGACAACAAGAAGCACACAGAACCACAGACATTCGTTCCTAGAGTGATATTTTACAAGTTTTCACACAGTGCAGCCTCCTTGCAGTTTTTTTTCCCCATCCCATTTCTTAGGGTGCCAGTACTGGTATCTTGAAAAGACAAGTTTGACTTGTGACTCACTTACCCTTAATAGTAGTTACTACAGTGAGTCCCAAAATTGTACTGAAAGTTTTCTTTAAGGTACATTTTAATATGATTTCTTTTTACTTCTGTAAACATCTTTCATGAGTGTCAAGAGTGTCCATTTGTGTCTTTGTCATTTTTAGCAGCTTTTAGGCTCTTTGCTTGCTGCCGCCTTCTTCAACATCTAAGTGCATTTGATTCCAATTTTAACTTAGAAGAGTTGGAGTTCATGTATTGTGTCAAGTGTCCCATAGTCTGAGAGGGGTGTCACTAGCCATCACCATGAGGGAGATTGTAGGCGGAGGGTAGACTCACAGGTGCTTCTTGGTGCTCCTGTTGATTTACATTCTTACAGCTAGAGGGCAGTGGCATTGAGAGGAGAGGAGTGTGCATGTTGTTTTAAATACCTCAGTTCTATAGCCTGAAAGTTATACTGAAAATGGTTTTGCTTAAGTACTCACATGGATACAAGGCAGTTTAAAAAATGACTTACTGTGCAGAATAAAATTTCTGATAGCCACGAGATGGAGGTTACACACTTGCATTGTTTTTCTGCTTTTTAGTAGAAGAAAAGATGAAAAAAATTTTGTTCAAGTCACAAGATTGTTCCAGATGAAATTGGTGTATTGCAAAAAAGCTCTCAATTGGGGAAGGTAGGGATTGGGGATGTTCCTTTGTAGATAAGTGATAGTGTTTGCTTATAAGACAGTTGTTAGTTAAGTAGAGTTGAGAAAATAATTTTAAGAAAGTTTCTGCAAAGAAAATATTTAAGTATAAACCTGTGAACTTTAGATTCCCCTATAATTAGCAGTTGGGATTAAGGCATCCCAGAATCCCCCATGGGTAGAATCTCTTGAGATGATACCTGGAAGAGACCTTAGGAAAAAACGTCACATTGATTCTTTCATTTTACAGATGAAGAAACTAGTTGCGAAAGAGAGACGGCTGTCCTGAGATACTTAACTGGATGCCTAGTCTTGCTCTTATAGTGACACCTACTGAATAAATCCTCTAGGCTTGTGCTCTGTGTTTAAAACAAGAAAAAACTGTTTAGGATGGTTAAGGGTCTTGTGCTGGAGCCTTCCAAGGAAGAAGTCCATGTCCTGCAAGATAATTTAGAATGCTTGTTGCTCCTAGCAGAAGAGTTCAGGAGGTATAGGGAAGTCTGCATGTTCTGACCATAGGAAGTTGCTGTGCCCATTGTGGCCCTGTAGCTGGTTAGACCCAAGGGAAGAGGATGCCAGCTCATGTAGGGGAGGCACTGCTCTGCTTGTTGTACTTTGAGTCCATATCAGTGGAGCTGTGAGCATCCTTTGCTTTAAAATGATAGCTTAGAACCAGACCAAGTCTCTGATATTGTTCCTAATTTATATATAGTCTGTTAAAGTCAAATGGGTTTCAAGGTGCTTATCATTTGGAAAGGGTCTCCTATTGGCATAGGAAAGAGTATGTATGAACAGTAATAGTTAATAGATTTAAAGGACTAGTTTTCAGGTAGGGATAGGAACTTTCATTTGAATAGCTTTAACTTAAAATATATTCATTAATGTTTTCTGTTATCTGAATATCAAAAAGATTTCCAAGGACAGAAAAAATGCAGATACAAAAATGTGTGGATTAAACTCCAGAGTCCTCTTTGGATTTCTCCCTTTGGTTTTATTTTCTTTTTGACTGGCTAAACTTAATCTGTCTGTTTATGAAGGTGGTGCTAGGAAGAAGTATGGATATAAAGAAAAGGACTTTCTAAAGATAAAGCACTTGAATTTTTGCCTTTGAAGCCCAGGTTGACTATTCTAGTTTGTACTTATTGTGTTTTATTTAAAAACAAACAAAAACAACAAAAAAACTGTGATAAGATTTTTGCCCTTTTGTTTTCTTTCTTTTTAAAAATTTTTTTAGAAATGGATCTCAACCTGTTGCCTAGGCTGAACTGCAATGGTGCGATCATAGCTCACTGCATCCATGAACTCCTGGGCTCAGTGATCCTCCCACTTCAGCCTTCCTAGTAGCTGTGACTATAGGTGTGTGACATTAGGCCTGGCTACTTTATTTATTTTTACTTATTTATTTGTTTTTGTAGAGATGAGGTCTCAATATGTTGTCCAGGCTGGTCTCAAACTCCTGGTCTCAGGTGATCCTCCCGCCTGAACATCCCACAGTGTTGAAATTACAGGCACGAGCCGCCGCACCTGGCCCCCTTTTGTTTTCTGTAAGAGGTTTGTTGGCACTTTGCCTGTTGTTGAAAATGTTTGAATCCAGTTAAAACATCAGTTTTAGAGCTGCTTTAAGTTAGTTTCCTTGGGGTTTTTGTTCCAGGCATAGTTACAACTCCAGTGGTGAGAGGTGACATTGTTTTGCTGTTGGTGCTTTCATACCTTAAACCAGGTACAATACAAAAAAAGAAAAATTTTACATGGTGAGATAAAAGGCATTTAGATGAATATATTTATTTTTCAGCTTTTATAACTGTACTTTATAATGCTCTTTCTTTTACAGATGTGGAAAAGGAAATTTTAAACTTTTGTTTTCCTTTTGAGATTTAAAATTAAGATGTGTGAAAAGTATGATATCCACTTCTTTCTTAGTAAATGAGTTGGCTCTTTCTGGATCTGGTGATGGTTTACAGAAAATGTGGAGGACCTAGGCTAATGTATCAGACTAGTAGCAAGATTCTGCCTCGTCCCTGCCAATGTCGTGGGTGTCTGTAGAGGCGGTGGTCATTCTGAGCAGAAAGTCCCAAAGGAGGGAACAGCTGTCCACATGCATTCAGCCAGCTCATGGCCAAACTGTCCAGTGCTCTCACTTCGTCCACTGCCTCCCAGAGCTCTTGGAAAAGCTCCTCGGGACTGATGCTCTCTGCTGGGGCAGGAGTGTGAGAGACATGTATTCTTCAGGATTTAAATGACTTGAAATCAATTTCAGTCTTTCTCTTTTTCCTTAGTTTTCCTGATTGCAGCCAGGACTTTGGTTTTTTTATTGTTGTTGTTGTTTTTTAAGAGACAAGGTCTCGCTCTGTTGCCTAGGTTGGAGTGCATTGTTGTGATTATAGCTCACTGCACCCTCAAACTCCTGGGTTTAAGCAGCCCTCTTGCCTCAGCCTCCCAAGATGCATGCCACCACGCCTGGCTAATTTTATTTTTTTGTGTGGTGGTAGAGATGGAGTCTCTCTATTTTGCCTAGGCTGTAGAACTTTGAATATATGGGTTTTATGCTCATTTTGTCTTTTTCTTTTTCAGCTCAAATTAAGGAAAAGTTATATCCTTGCTCCTTGTGTCAGCAGCATCTACTTGTGCAAGAGATCAGTCATGCAGCCACCACCCCAGGCAGTCCCATCTGGTGTGGCTGGACCACCTCCGGCTGGGAATCCTCAGAGCATGTTCTGGGCTAGCAGCCCTTACAGAAGACGGACCAATAATAACGCACCAGTGGCTCCGATAACTTGCCCCCTGCAGCCAGTAACGGATCCGTTTGCTTTTAGTAGGCAGGCCCTCCAAAATACACCGCCGGGCAGTTTATCCAAAAGCAGCCCACCCATCTTGCAAAACTCAGCATCCCCAGGGTTTCCTCAGCGCCCTGGTTTGCCTGTGCCTCACACAGATACCAGAGATAGCTCCCAAGGACCCTGTGAGCCTCTGCCAAGACCTCTGTCACAGCCCAAAGCAGATGCCAATTCATTTTCTGGTGCGTTGACACCTTCAGCGCCTGGGGCTGAGATGATTAGGAGTGCAGAGGTCCATCCCGGCTCAGAGCCTGGAGTTCAGGCTCCACCATATCTGCCTCACTGCATTCCAGGAGTGGGTCCTAACACGTCTCCAGGGACCCATCTGCATGGGAACATGCCTGGGCCCGACCAACCCCTGAGTAGGCAAAACCCACATGACGGTGTGGTAGCCCCAGCAGCGGCCCCCTTCTCCCCCCAGCCTCGTCAACAGTTGCCGGGTCAGTGGGGCCCAGCGCAGGGGAGCCCACAGCCCTCAGGTCAGCATCACTCGCCCTGTCCAGAAGGACCTGTTCAGAGCGCAGTGCCCCACGCCACCAGCGTTCCCCATCTCCCCCCTTCATCCAGCCCACATCAGGGTGTTGGCCATGAGCAACAGAACCCACTGGTGTCTCTTTCAGCACCCTTGGCCAGTGACAGAAGAAGTGAGGTGGCCCATCTACAAAGTGGAAGCTACTCAGCAAATAACTTTGATCCTGAAAATACGTTCAGGCAAAACCCTAGAGTTGGGAATACTTGGGCAAGCCAGGAGTTCAGGCAGAATCCAGGAGTGCCTCAAGAGCACTGGCCAGCCCCAACTCTTGCGAACCCCCTCACTCAGGCAGATCACCCAGAAAACCACGTGCACTATCCACCAGGGACTGGGGCCAGCCTCTCCCTCCCAGATACAGACTCGGGAGCTCTCTCAATGTTTTTCCAAGGGGGAGAGACAGAAAATGAGGAGAATCTCTCGTCTGAAAAGGCAGGCTTTGCTGGTAAATCAGACTTTGATGGTTTCTCCTCTAGCCCTGGACTGGGCCATCCACCCCCGCTTGCACACATGGCAGTGGGTGGCATCTCCCAGGCCTTTCTCAAAGGCTCCAACGTTGAGACCACACAGCAGGGTGGAGACACACACCTTTATTTTTCTCAGTCTGCAGGCATTCAACATGATCAGCAAACTACTAGAAACACAGCTAGTGACATGTGGGGTGACACAGCGGCTGCTGGGACTCAGGGTGCCAGCAGTTCACAGTGTGAGAATATTGAGAACTTAGAATTCGTTCAGAATCAAGAAGTTCTGCCAAGCGAGTCCCTAAATTTGGACCCTTTGTCTCCAAGTGATCAATTCAGATACGGGGTCCTTCCTGGGCCAGCCGTCCCCAGGCACAATGTTTCGGGCCACACCGGAGCCCCTGAAGCAGTGATGTATCCTGCGAGATCTGATAGCGTGTCATCCAGCTACAGCAGCAAAAGCCACAAGAGTCTTTCAAGTTCAACCAGGCCCCAAGAACTAGTTGGCACATTTATTCAGCAAGAAGTTGGAAAACCTGAAGATGAAGTTTCAGGTAGTTTTTTTAAGCAAATTGATTCTTCTCCCGTAGGAGGTGAAACAGATGAGACCACTGCGAGCCAGAACTACCACAGCAGCGTGTCCCAGCCCTCAACTCCAAGCCCTCCAAAACCTACAGGAATATTTCAGACAAGTGCAAATAGTTCTTTTGAACCAGTAAAATCTCACTTAGTTGGGGTAAAACCAGTTGAGGCAGACCGCGCCAATGTCGTGGGTGAAGTGAGGGGGACCCGGGCCCGCCAGAAGAAGCGCAGACCACCTGATGCTTCCCCTGGCAACCTGGAGCAGCCGCCAGACAACATGGAGACCTTCTTTGCACCCCAGGTCTGCCCTCTGCCTCTAAACACCACTGCAGAAGCTGGGCACGGGCTTCCGCACACCGGGGCACCGCCCTTGGATACTGTGTATCCGACACCGGAGAGGAAGCCCTCAGGCAGGGCTCAGGGGACTGTGAAGTGTGAGAGCCCAGCCACGACTCTGTGGGCACAAAATGAGCTGCCGGATTTTGGAGGCAATGTCCTTCTAGCCCCAGCAGCTCCTGCACTTCAAGTACCAGCAAAACCTCAGCCGTCTGCAGTTGTTCAGCCTCCAGAAGAGGTGGTGTCTGGGCAGCAGGCACAGAAGCCAGGCTCTGCCACTCCCCTGCAGAACCGAGATGAGATTGGTGCTTCCGAAAACCTTGAGAACCCTCCCAACGTGGGAGAAGAGGAGGCCCTTCAGCCACAGGCAAGTTCTGGTCATGCCAATGCAATACCCTCACCGCCCACCGAGTCTTTGCAACATCTTCCAGTCTTGATGGCCCAGCCTGATCAGAGCTATAATCTGGCTCAGCCCATTAATTTCTCTGTGTCCTTATCGAATCCTACTGGGAAGAATCAGTCCTGGAGAGATGCTTTGGTGGGGGATAAACCTCCAGTAGGCAGTCGGGTGCTCAGTGGTGATTCTGGGGAAAACGTTCCTTTGTCTGGGATCCCAACCAGCTCTGTCCTTAGCTTGTCTCTGCCTAGTAGTCTTGCCCAAAGTAATTTTCCACAAGGTCCTGGTTCTTCTGAAATGGTTTCTAATCAGCCTGCCAATTTGTTGGTTCAACCACCATCCCATCCACTTCCAAAGAACTTGGTTCCAGAAAGTCAAAAGAATCACAGTGCAGAAAATGTTCTTCCCGAGTTTGTTAATAGCCCTGCTGGAAGCACGAGTGTGATGTTAGTTCCACCTGCAAACAGTACTGTGGTGCCTAATAGTAACAAGGCAAATCACCCCAGTAATCGGGAAGGAACTTACGGAGCCCTAGACTTTACATTAAATAGGACTTTGGAAAATCCTGTAAGAATGTATAGCCCATCCTGTTCTGATGGCCTGGCCTCTCAGCATACCCTTGCCAATCATCCCGGACAGTCTGGGCCTGGGCCACATAACCCAGACCGTTTCTACCAACAGGTAATGAAAGATGCACGGGACCAGCCCGGCCTGGGAAGAGCCCTGCAGGAGCTAGTGCCTCCTCGGCAGCAGAATTCTCCACCAGTGCCCAAAGCAACATCTGCAGAACCTTCAAATGCAGAAAGTCCGCCAGCACAAGGACAGCCTCAAAACTCAGCCCAGGCACCAGCAAGCCTGGCTGCAGCTGACACAGGTCAGCAGCTGCTGCCTCCGCTGCCTCAGCCCTCCAGCGTGTCATTGGTGTCCACTGGCTCTAGCCAGGCAGCCACGCAGTCAGAGCAACAGTGGCCACAGCCAACACCTCCGCACTCCTTGGGCCCACCGCCTCAGGACTTGGCGTCCTACTACTACTACAGACCTCTGTACGATGGCTACCAGTCTCAGTACCCCTCCCTGTACCCACCAGATCCTGGGGCGGCCTCCCTTTATTACCCGGTATGTAGAGCTCTCATGTTTAACACACTTTTTTCTCCTTGATTTGACCAGTTGGGATTCTTTCTGTCATGGTGTGTTCTTTGGTGGTGTTTGTCTGCTTGATTCAGAGGTAACCTGCGGTCCCCAGGGCATGTGGAATACCAGTTCTAAACGCACCACCAGTTCCAAGCAGTGCTTCCTGAGAAAAGTACTCTCTGGTCCCAGAGCTGAGCACAGGCCACCTCTTAGAAGCTCATGCCACAAATTAGCATATTGAATTGCTTATAATACCTGCTTAATTTTTGTTTAATCCAGCCTCCCCAACTTATGTGACAAAAAGAGCCCTTTGTTTCCTGTAATACCTGTTGGCTCTCTGCAGAATTAGAGTTCTGAGTTGCACTCTTTGGGAAGCTGGGATAGCCTTATGGAAGCTTTTATGTGGGTTTGAGAATAACTGTAGTCTTTCACATCCTCTTTGAGAATAAAAACATTGAGGGAAAAAGTTAGGTTTGGAATATTATCCACTTGCAGCAGCTGAGAGAGGTGGAATTCCAGGAGATTCTGTCAAATATGTGGTGATACCAATAGCAGAGTGGGGAGGCCCTGCTTGTTACCACAGAAGATTCTTTCATGCCTTTTTATTCACAGTGACACGAGTGTTGTTCAAATTAGATTCTGTTTAAATCCTGCAGTAGTTGGGAAAGTGTGGTCCACGTGGACATGTTTCATCATTATCTGCTTTTCCTCACCGCTGACCCGGATTCAGCATCACCCAAGGTAGTACAGTGTAAGGGGGAGTCTTGCAATGTGTGAGGCCTGTCAGACCCAGACTTGGGTGGTGAGCAAAGGCCTCAGAGTTAGAAGGCGTGCCCAGGAGCGGGGCTGCTTTGGCCAGGCAGGCGCCGCCTGCAGCCCTGGAGCCTGGGCCTCGAGTAGATGGTTTGTGCACCTGCAGACAGTTACACATTTGAGCCCTCAGGCCTGTGAATCCTAGATTCTGGAAGGAGCCTATATACTTTTTATTTCCACATGAGGCAGTTTAGCTTTGAGCTCTGGGAGCGGCAGAGCAAGGGGAGCCGTGGACTCACATCAGATCCTGTGCAGGGATCCTGGCCTGGCGCCAGCCACACTCTGTGTGACTGTGTTTTCTTCTAGCTGCCGTAGTGTCCAGTCGTGACAAGAACGAATCTGTTTTTCCATGATTTCACATTATCTACAAGGTAGTGGCAGAGAGTTGAGGCTTTTAGACACGAAAGGATGCATTCTGGCTTCTACCCAGATCACCTCATCTGTCTTCAGATCTTCATGTGTCCAGTTGGGTCCTTAGAGACAGGTCTGTGGCCATGAATCAGTTTTTAATGGGGCTGGAAGCATCGTAAATATAAAACATAATCCTCTTTTTTTTTTTTTTTTTTTTTGAGACAGAGTCTCACTCTGTTGCCCAGGCTAGAGTGAGTGCTGTGGCGTCAGCCTGGCTCACAGCAACCTCAATCTCCTGGGCTCAGCAATCCTACTGCCTCAGCCTCCCGAGTAGCTGGGACTACAGGCATGCGCCACCATGCCCGGCTAATTTTTTGTATATATATTTTTAGTTGGTAGATTAATTTCTTTCTATTTTTGGTAGACACGGGGTCTCGCTCAGGCTGGTTTCGAACTCCTGACCTTGAGCAATCCGCCCACCTCCGCCTCCCAATCCGCCCACCTCCGCCTCCCAAAGTGCTAGGATTACAGGCGTGAGCCACCTCGCCCGGCCATAATCCTCTTTTTGAGGCTCTCTGTAGCTTTAAGACCCATTCATGTGGTTGTAAAGCTTTATGGAGATGGTGTCTGAAGCAGGACACAGGCATTATTCAAATCCTGACATCTCCACAGTAGAGGCATCAAGAAGCAAACACCTAACAACTCCTGCAGAAGTTGCCATGGCCCTTTGTGGTTGCCTGCGGACATGCTGGTGGTCTCCTGAGCAGGACCAGGGCTGTCAGTGTGAGGAAGAGCCCACTGCAGGCCTGGGGAGAGGGACCGCTCTTGGTAGGTGGTGGTTCCCATTAAGGAAGCCCCACATTCAGTGCTGTTTTCAGAGCAGTCGTCTGATGTTGAGAGCTAGAGTTGGTTGCTGTATGAGTTTGCTCTTGATTGGTATCTAACGTTGCCCAAATGCTTCCTCCCACAGGACGTCTACAGCCTCTATGATCCTCGATATAGGCCCTACGACAGCGCGGCATCTGCGTACGCTGAGAACTACCGCTACCCCGAGCCTGAGCGGCCCAGTTCCCGAGCAAGTCACTGCTCCGACCGGCCACCTCCCAGGTGGGGCTGCATCCACTCTGGTCGCTTCACTCTCATACACAGTCCAATGTTTATGTTGTTGGCTGTGGTGCTAACTTAACGATTTGAAAAATTTTGTATCCGTAAAGAATTATACAAACCTATGTAATATATACTTACATTTTGGCAATATGGACAAATTGCAGAATGTGTTTTTAAATTGGGAGTTAAACACACTGCCACCAGCAGTCATTAGCTATGATGGTCATGTAGCGTTTGGCTACCTCCTAGTCAGGCCAGACCCTGAGCAGGTCCATAGAGAAGCAGCCTTGAACTTGTGGGCATGCACTCTGGATTGGGTGCACGTTCCTGTCGTCCGGGCACGTCTTGCTCTGGCAGTTTGCTAATAGGATATTCGCGTCCTTAGACTGTGGCAGCTTTTAACTGTTGCAGACTTTTCCCTACCACTGAGTCTCCAGAGGCCAGGGGGTGTTGGTCACAGAGATGACATAGTCCTTAGATCCATCAGGCAGCACCAGAATGCGGGGCCCGTGTTCTCTCCCTGATACCGCTGCCTCTGCTGAAGCCGGCAGACGTCTCAGGCCTGCTCATCTCCTACGCTGGCCCTCCATGCTTCTGTTTGCAGTTGCAGAGATGGATTTGGGAAGAACCATGGCACCATGCCTTCAGCTGAGTAAGCCTTTAAGCCAGGTCAGAGTCCTGGGTTCTTGGAGCAGAAGAGGCTGTTTTTGGTTTTTGTTTCCACTCAGAGAAGTTGGCAGAATAGGAGAATAGTAGTGGGGGCATGGGTCCTGGCAGCTGTGCTCAGTTGTGCCTGCCTTCCAGAGCTTTTGCTGCACTTTCTCCTTGTCCGACTGAGGAGTGGTGGTCTCACTGGTACAGATTTTGCTACAAGGGTGTATTGCTTTTTAGACTTTGTAATGTAGAAAAGTCAAATCATTATGAAGACTGTGTGCCTGCACTTTGTTTCAAAAGGTTCCTTATGCTGAGCCTTTGAGGTTTATAGTCGCTTACCTAAAGACAAAAAGCTCTGAATGTCTGCCCATTCAGCTGGCCCAGTTGTACGCTGCTGCAGAGGTCGCCCTGAACCGCATGTAGCCGGGCATTCTGGGCATTTTATGAAACACAGCAATGCAGTGAGGCTTTGTCTGTCAGGAAACTTCACTCGAGATAAAATTCCCAGGATTTTAGTCACCGTGTATCACGACGTCACCTGGGAGGTGGGATCCAATGTTAATGTAGTGTTGACTCAGAGCCTGCGAAGTGAGGGCGGATGGGCAAATGTTTTCTAGAGCCCTGGGACCCAAGAGAGCAGAGGAGGCAGAGCTAAGGATGAGTTCGCACCGGCTTGGTTGCCTTCTACCTGCCAACCTGCAGGTTCACATAGGATGATTTCAGGAGGCCACAGGCGGCTCTATGCTGTTCAGAAGCCTCCCCTAGAGGCTAGTTCAGGTGCCACGGGAGTGGTTTCGTTGCTGTAGCAGCTAGAATTCTCTTTTGTCAGCTGTTCTGCTGTCTTCAGTGCTTCCTGTGACCACTCTGGAGAGTAGTCGCTACTCTGTCCTCCCCCTCAGGTCGCACACGAGCACATGCGTGTGTATTTGATATCAGTGCTGATGTTTGGTGCTAGCTTATCTGTCTGCACCCACTGTGCTCAGATCATGGCAGGAACTGCTTGAGGTTAGAACACCTCGTTCGCTCTTGTGATTGTATCATTCCTGATGAATGAGCAGGGCTGGAGAGCAGTGGGGCTGATGCCAGATGGCAGAGGGCCCGGCCTACCACCCCGGCACAGCACACTGCGCAGCCACAGTGACAGCCCTGCCAACCAACAGCCCGGGTGTTCGCTCTAGACTGCATTTGTGTACATGGCAGTGGGTTCGGAACCCGCTCTCACAAGTACTGCACCAGCCTAGCAGCCAGACAGGGCCGAATGACCGTGTGGCTCCTGTGACAGTTCCTGAAGGAGCATGAGAAAAGTCACATTATAAAAATCCCATATTGTATAAAACCTGCTATTAGGCTGGGCACGGTGGCTCACACCTGTAATCCAAGCACTTTGGGAGGCCAAGGCAGGAGGATCACTTGAGCTCAGGAGTTCAGGACCAGCCTGAATAAGAGCAAGACCCCGTCTCTACAGAAAAATAGAAAAAATTAGCTGGGTGCAGTGGCAAGTGCCTGTAGTCCCAGCTACTTGGGAGGCTGAGGTAAGAGTGCTGCTTGAGCCTAGGAGTTTGAGGTTGCAGTGAGCTATGATGACATCACTGCACTCTATCCAGGGTGACAGAGAGAGACCCTGTCTCAAAAAAAATCCCAAACAACAACAACAACAACAAACCCTGCTAGTAGAAAATTTTTAAATGCTCTTAAGTCATTTTAAGAAAATCTCATAAGTACCAGAAGTTCTGATACTTGATCATTTTGCTAAATGTGGTTTTTCTGTAGCAAGAGTCAGGGTCATGGCGTGGTATACAAAGCCAGCCTAGGGGGCCCCTGTAGGAGTCTGACCCCAGGTCAGCTCCAGGAGACACGAGGGATAATGCCGTCCAGTCCTGCTCCTAGGAGGAGCATGCACTCAGGCTCTGTGGCGGGCACACCTGTGAGCGTGCAGAGAGCACCTGTCAAGCAGTCTGGTGTAGAGGCATCGACATCGGCATTTTGGGATGGTTTTGGTGGCTCAGTCCTTTTTCTTCTGCTAAGCATGGATATCAAAAATTGTAGGACCTATTTTAGTGTTGACTTTTATAGCATGTAGCAGTGAGAACAGCAAAAGGGTCGGTTCTTTTTTGCTGATCAGCTCTTAAATATTAATAGTTATTTTACTGAGATAAATTTTAATTAGCAGTATGGTGAGGAATTCCATAATCTCATCCATGTCACTGTTTAAATCTTCTAGTTAGAATTTTTTTATGTCCAAAGTGCTTTGATAAATGCTTTGCTTTTATAATTTATATAATTTGTATTGGCTGATATCACACTTTAAGAAATAGGTAATTTGTTTTTTAACAGCACTGTGTATTTTTTCAGGCAGGGGTATCCTGAAGGATACTATAATTCCAAAAGTGGATGGAGCAGTCAGAGTGATTACTATGCGAATTATTACTCCAGCCAGTATGATTATGGAGGTATGTTTAGGAATTTTCAAAAGTTGGCCATTCGCAGATGGATTGTCTGAGAGACTGCTGCGCTCTGCCGGGTGACTTCTGAGAAACTTTCTTTTGTTAGTCTCTTCTTTATGTTTTTATCCAAGAGCCAAAGTTGTTGAAGATGCTTTGCATCCAAAAATACTTGTGTTGATATTTTTCATTAAGAAATTACATCTTAATTATAGCATGACTATATCTTTATCACATTGGTAGTTTTCTTTGATTTTCTAGCAAATCGTAATCATCACTAGTTCCAGAGCCACCTTTTCCATATATGACTACTTAAATGTAAATTGATGAAAACAGGCGGGGCACGGTGCCTCACGCCTGTAATCCTAGCACTCTGGGAGGCCAAGGCAGGCGGATTGCTTGAGGTCAGGAGTTCGAAACCAGCTCTGAGCAAGAGCGAGACCCCATCTCTACTATAAATAGAAAGAAATTAATCGGCCAACTAATATATATAGAAAAAAAAAATTAGCCAGGCATGGTGGCGCATGCCTGTAGTCCCAGCTACTTGGGAGGCTGAGGCAGCAGGATTGCTGGAGCCCAGGAGTTTGAGGTTGCTGTGAGCTAGGATGACCCTGGCAACAAAGTGAGACTCAGTCTCAAAAAAAAAAAAAATTGATGAAAACAAAACAAAGTGGGAAACCAGCCCCTCAGTCTCACCAGGCATGTTGCCTGTGATCAGTGGGCTCAGGAGGTTGGTGGCTGCTGCGTGGGACAGTGCAGACATGGGCCACGTCCAGCACGGCCATGTTCTGGGTACTTCCCTGTGGCATGTGTGGCACAGTGGCCATGTCCCTGGGAAGAGCTTCTGGTCGCTCCTGCCCTGGCTGTGTCCTATGCTCCGTGCCCTACAGCCCCTCTAGGGTCCCACTGGTGCTAGCCCCCATTCTGCTTCCTAGAGGGCTGCTTCTGCCCTCTAGTGTTTGTGCCTGTTTTAAATATAAACTCTGCACACACTTGCTAAAAGCATACATCCCATTTTGTTTATAATGTTAATGTGCCCTTTAAAATAACCTTTTAATATTGAGGTGATTTTTAAAAAATCTTCCGGATCACCTTAAGGAGAAGAAATATTAGTAAAATTTTTAGTTACAGGATTGACTATTAAGAAGTAGTAACTATGAAAAAGAAGTTAATAAAGAAATCTTTTAGCATCTCTTCTAAAGTTATCTTTTTTTTTAATCAAAAGCACTTGTATTTAGAGAAAAATTAGGTAATAATTATACAGACGAGACACAGCTGGGGTCCTCTGGGACCTTGTAGCTGCCACTTCCTCGTGTTCTGCTGACTTTCAGGAGGAAAGTTTGGTTTCTCCACAAGTCCTTAAGGCATTCTTAGGTGGGGTACAGCTTCTGTAGTGAAATCCAGAGGAGTTGCTTGTTTTGCATGTTACTGTATTAATCCATTAAGTCCTTGCTCACAGATCCAGGTCGCTGGGATCGTTTCCACTACAGTGCTAGATTCAAGGACCCCCGCGCCTGTGACCGGAGGTACTGGTGTGACGTGGAGTATGACCCGTACAGGAAAGAACCCTATGCCTACAGTGACAGGTTGGTAACCATACTGGGGTAAAGGAGGCTGGTGGCAAACAAACATATGTTCTTGCTCATCTGTCCTTGTGTCTTTGGAGTTTATCAAAGAGTTGTAGTTTGGGGGTTTCTTGTGAGCAGCTGCCTAATGTTTTGGTCACTGTCTGAGAAAGGAAGGATGGACCAGGCCTGCCCAGTGTTGCCAGCTCTTGGGCTGTTAGAGGAGGCCCAGCCTCAGAGTGAGTGCTCCTACAGTGGCTTCAGAAGCACCTAGGGGTCTAGGTTCACACATGTCTCATCCCTCATTTGTCATGCCTGCACCCAGAGTTGTGACCACCGTCAAGATGCACTTGAGTTCTCTAAAATCACGAACAAGAGTCTGAGCTGCAGGCTGCTGTCATGTGATGCACTGCAGTGTCAGCTCTAACTCACACTCTTTGGGGTAAAGGTATCTTGGGAATGGCAGGGCGGCCGGGGGCAGGAGGACCTGCCAGGCCTTGGCCTGTTGTCTGGCAGCTGCACGTTGTGCACCGAGCAATCCTCTGAAACTGCCCTTTCTTTGCCTCTGGCCCCTGCTTCCTGTAGGCCTGAGAAATGTGATGACCCCTGGCGGTATGACCCTCGCTTCACCGGGAGTTTCGACGATGACCCAGAGCCCCACAGAGACCCTTATGGGGAGGAGGCAGACAGGCGCAGCGTCCACAGCGAGCACTCTGCACGGAGCCTGCGGAGCGCGCACAGCCTGCCCAGCCGCCGCAGCAGCCTCAGCTCCCACTCGCAGCAGGTGTGCTCGGCAGGATGGCGCTCGGGGGCGGGGGGTTGTGGGCAAGGATCTGCTGCCCTGTCCCAGAGACACGGTGGACAGTTCTGTCAAGCACAGGTACCTTCTTTGTTGCAGTGCTGGCAACATAACCTACTAGTGTTCGTGGGAAACTAACTTACCCATTCGCTTTGTTTTCTAAGAGTCAGATTTACAGAAGTCACAATGTAACAGCCAGTTCCTATGAGGCCCCACTTCCTCCAGGCTCCTTTCGTGGCGATTATGCCTACGGCACCTATGGCAGCAATTTCCATGGCGCCCAGGGCTTCCCAGAGTATGGCTACCCCACAGACAGTGGCTGGTCCACGGTGGAGCAAGGTGCGTGTGCAGCAGGGCAGGGGGACGCTGGGTCACTTGTGGGGTGGCTGCCAGCCTGGGGTCAGGATGCGGGGTCAGGGCTGTGACTGGCGTTTGTGACAGGCTCTGTCCTAGCCCATCCTTGTGAGTGGCAGAGCGAGTCAGGACAGGCCGATGCCTTCTCTTTGGTTGCAGCAGGGCTTGCAGGTCTAAGATGGCTGTCTGTCCACACCCGTGTTTCTCCTGTATGGTCCCGAGCACCCAGGCCCCTGGGTGGCCCCTGATCGTGTCTCCAATGTTGACCACGCTGAGTAGGTTGGAGGGAACTTCTTGTTCCCTTTGGAAGGCTCCTGTTCCTGGTGGCACTTGTCCCAGGTGGCACTTGTCCCAGGTGGCACATTCTAACTTCCCTTTTAAAATGTTTGGCCAAATGCTATTTGGGAAAACTGCAAAAATATATGTAAAGTTATGTAGAATATAACAGCGGACTTTCTTTCTTAAAGTATTACTTCAGTTAAAGAGTTTTTGTTTTTTTGAGACAGGGACTCTGTTGCCAAGGCTGGAGTACAGTGGTGTCATCATAGCTCACTGCAACCTTGAACTCCTGGGCTCAAGTGATCTTCTTGCCTCAGTGTCCTGAGTGGTTGGGACTACAGGCATGCACCACCAGGCCTGGCTAGTTTTTCTTATTTTTTTATAAAGATGGAGTCTCTCTATGTTGTCCAGACTGGTCTCAAACTTTTGGCCTCCCTAAATGCTGGACAGGCATGAGCCACTGTGCTTGGCTCTTAAGTTTCTTTTTGTTTTTTGTTTATTTATTTATTTAATTTTTTGAGACAGAGTCTGGCTTTGTTGCCCAGGCTAGAGTGAGCCAGTCAGCCTAGCTCACAGCAACCTCAAACTCCTGGGCTCAAGGGATCCTCCTGCCTCAGCCTCTTGAGTAGCTGGGACTACAGGCATACGCCACCATTCTCAGCTAATTTTTTCTATATATACTAGTTGGCCAATTAATTTCTTTCTATTTATAGTAGAGACGGGGTCTCACTCATTGTTCAGGCTCGTTTCAAACTCCTGAGCTCAAAGGATCCACCCGCCTCGGCCTCCCAGAGTGCTAGGATTACAGACATGAGCCACCGCACCTGGCCTTAAGTTTCTTTTTGTTTCAAGGTGTTGACTTTTGTCATTTTTGAGAGCTGTTTGTGATAGTCAGTTGGAAGGTGCATTTGTGAGAGAGCTCTGGAGCAGGGAGGGCCTGGGAGGAGCCCCCATACCTGTAGAAAGGGCTTGGGAGCTGTCTACAGGACTTTTTCAATGTAGACAAGAATGGGTCTCATTTTTAACAATTTAAACGTTTTTCTGACATATGCTTAGGTTTTACTTCTTTTACTGTAGATTAACAAGTATTGCAGATATTTAACAATTTCTTTTTTTCTTTTTTTTTTTTTTTTTTGAGACAGAACGAGACTGCCCTGGCCTCCTGAATAGCTGGGACTACAGGAGCACACCACCATGCCCAGCTTATTTTTCTGTTTTTTTTTTTTTTCATAGAGACAGAGTCTCTCTTGCTCAGGCTGGCCTCAACTTCTGGAATCAAGTGATCCAACTGGCTTGGCCTCCTAAAGTGCTAAGATTGTAGGTGTGAGCCACTGCGCCTGGCCAACAATTACTGACTTTCAGTTGAAAGTCATTTTATAATGCTAAATCTAACCTATGGTTTCAGTTATGTGGTCATTTGAAAATCTAGGCATTGATTTGGCTCAGAAGCATTAAAAAGTGACAAATTGATTGTTTCTTTTTTAATTTTTTAAATATAGTTCCATCAAGACCAACTTCTCCTGAAAAATTTTCAGTGCCTCATATCTGTGCCAGGTTTGGTCCTGGTGGCCAGCTCATCAAAGTGCTTCCAAACCTGCCTTCCGAAGGACAGCCCGCGCTGGTTGAGATCCACAGCATGGAGGTAACGCCACGAGTGGCACACACTTGTGCTCTGAAGCTGTTGTCTTCAGCTGCCGATTGTGTCTGGACATACAACTGTGGAAAATGTTTATTCCTATGAATCTTCAAGTTGTAGGCTTTTTGCTATTCGGTCATACCATTTTCCTCCTAGAACTCAGCGTTTGAAGCATCTACATAGGGTATTAGACTTGGTTTTATTGCATTTACATCTTCTGTCTTGGTTCGCATCTGTTCACCGTCCCGGTAACTTTCAGTGATGGCTGAGGTGCTCCTCGGTGCAGTGCCAGGTGGGCCAGGTGCTGCTGAGCTCAGGGAGACTGCAGGCGGCCCGGCCTGCAGCCTCTTCTGTTATACGTGTTGGGGCCCTGCTTCAGAGTTTGGGGGAAGAAAATGGATCTCACTACTTAAAGTTTAAAAATCACTGTTGTAGCCCAGACGTGACTATTCCATTAAACAACCTTAAGCCTTCACCCCACGTGGTAGGGCAGGCCACCCTCTTGGGGCAGTGTCTGTAATGCAGTCTGCCAGTGTAGCCAGCAAAGGTGGCTCAGGCATTCAGTGCTGCTGGCCCTAAGTGAGCGACTCTGTCCCCTCTCCTTGTAGACCTTGCTGCAGCACACGTCTGAGCAGGAGGAGATGCGGGCCTTCCCGGGGCCGCTCGGCAAGTACGTTCTTACTGGGAGTTCCCTGATGTCTGCAGTAGCAGTTGCCGAGCTTGGCCTCGGAGACACTACTGTTCACTGCGTGTTTGTTCCTTTGCAGAGGTGACACCCATAAAGTGGACGTCATTAACTTTGCACAGAACAAGGCTACAAAGTGTTTGCAGGACGAAAATTTAATTGACAGAGAGTCTGCAAGTCTTCTTTGGAATTTCATCGTTCTCTTGTGTAGACAGAATGGGGTATGTGTGTTTTTACTCCTGCCATGTTTCTCTTCGTTGGCATCTAGTCTTGAGGCTGCTTGGTCCTGCCAAGGATCTGGGCTGTATCCATGTCCTCGGCTGGGGGCAGTGGGCAGTGCTGCTGTCAGGGGCTCCCTCGGGCCCGGGTGCCTCAGCAGCAGTTTGGGGATGGGGGAGCAAAGAGAAACATAGTTTTGGAGTGAGTTGAAGTTTTAGCCCAGCTGTTATCAGCTTTTCAGGGGGGACTGCAGGTATGTCTGTCATGTCCCTGGCTGTGCCCAGAGTGTGTATAACGTGTGTTGAGGGTCCTCACCCAACCAGCAAATTTGTCACCTCACTGGAAATTCTGTTCCTGGTCATGCCTTCTGTACTCCCTCCCACCCCGTTGCCCTTACAGACCGTGGTGGGAACAGACATCGCGGAGCTTTTGTTACGAGACCACAGAACAGTGTGGCTCCCTGGGAAGTCCCCCAACGAGGCAAACCTGATCGACTTCACGAACGAGGCTGTGGAGCACGTGGAAGAGGAGGAACCTGGTGAGGCCCAGCTCTCGTTCCTCACGGACAGCCAGCCGGCCACGGCCAGCACGCTGGAGAAGGAGACCGAGAGGTTCAGAGAGCTGCTGCTTTATGGCCGTAAGAAGGTAAGCTGTCCCCGAGTCACAGAGCCCCAGGTGTCTTCAGGTGTGCACTGGGGGAGGGGCAGAGCCTTGCTCTCGGGTGTGTCAGTGGTGTCCTGGGTCCCGCCATTCATGAAATATCCGGTCCCTCGTATGTCATCTCCCTGAAGATGTTGATGTTGGTTTCCTTCTGAGTATTGCCAGTGCCAACAACTTGCACGTTCTGTTTCAGTCATTTAGCAAATAGACGCATTTGTTGAGCACAGACTATGTCCCTGCCATGTGCCAAGTCTTAGGGTTAAAAACATGCATGAGACAAACCCATTCTCACAAAGCTGGGTGTCAGCCTACAGTCCCTCACGCAGACAGAGGCTGGGAGTCGGGAGGACGTGCCGAGCGCGGGCCAGGCATAGGCACGTTGCAGCAAAGGCTGAGGGCAGGGGAGAGCAGGTGTGTGCGCTGAGCAGCTGTAGTCGCACCGGTGTAGAGGGGACTTGGGTCCCAGAGTGCCTCCAGAGCCCTGCAGAAGGGAAGGAGGGACTGAGATCGGAGTCTGTTCTGGGGAGGGGAAGGACATGTCCCGAGTGAGCCTGCTGGATAGTGTGTGCATGGGAGGGGGCTCCGGGGTGGGCGTCGACTGTTCAGGACTTGCTCGGGGGAAGAGGCCAGTCGCACTGGCTCATGTGGCTCTGAGCAGCAGGGACGCCTGATAGGCCTGGAGTTCTCTGTGCTCATGTATACCAGTAAACTGAGAAAGGTCGTATTCGATCATTATGATTTCAATGTGGACATTTGACAACTGATTGAAACCTGTTAGCTTTGATTAACATTTATCTCTATTGCAACATTTGCCTCTTAGCCGGAAGTTGTGAGCATGAGGTGTGTTGCACCCCCGATTACTTAGGGTAAGGGAGGCGGCTACCTGTGCTGGGCAGATCTCCACGGGGGGCCTGCAGCACCCTGAATAGGGAGTGAGGGCTGCTGCACGGCACCTCTCGGGGGCAGGATGGTGTGGGCACGAGGACACTTCTTGGTTGTCCCTGCTTGTTCTTTATGCTGAAAATGGGTAATAAACACAGTGACATATACCACAGAGACTTTGAAACTAAGGAAAATGATCAAGTACTGGATTTTCTTTAATATCGAAACTGCCTTTGGTGGGTTTGTCTCTCAGTCTGCTGTCAGCCCTTTCTCCTTTCCCATCAGTGCGTACATGGCACGTGGCAGTGTCCTCTGTAACAATCACTTGAGTGACTCTGGTGATTGGCACAACCACTGAACTGCTTTGCAGGATGCCTTAGAGTCCGCAATGAAGAACGGCTTGTGGGGTCACGCTCTGCTGCTGGCAAGTAAGATGGACAGCCGGACACACGCTCGCGTCATGACCAGGTATGGAACCTCCCGGCGCGGACAGCTGGTGCATCTCACTCCTGCTGCGGCGCTGCCACGTGGGGCCTCGGACCTGCTCGGCCCTCCTGATTGGGCTGTACTGCTGAGGGTCTTTACATCTTTTTTTACTAACTGAATGGTTTTTAACACTTTCTATAAAATCTCAGTGAAATCCTTCATCTTTAAGGGTTTGTTTTGTTTTTTTAAATATTGAGATGTGTACACTTTGGCTAAACACAAGTCTACTCAATAAAAGGGCTAAGATCAGACTTTTTAAAAACTGAGCCAGAGGTAGGTCTTTGTGTTTTTGTGTCCCCCTAGGTTTGCCAACAGTCTTCCCATCAACGACCCTCTGCAGACTGTCTACCAGCTCATGTCCGGCCGCATGCCTGCCGCGTCCATGGTACGTGACGGCTCGCCATGGCCCTTCCATTTGGAATTTGCTCCGTGAGCCACTGCTTCTGGGGCAGGGCCCGCGCTCTGACCAGGCTTGCTCCCGGGGCTCAGCGTCACGAGTGAGAGTGCTGTGCTCTTCCCAGGATGAGGGTCTGGGTTTTTTTTCCTGATTCTAGTGTTGTGGAGACGAGAAGTGGGGAGATTGGAGGCCACACCTCGCCATGGTCTTGTCCAACTTGAACAACAACGTGGATGTGGAGTCCAGGACGATGGCCACGATGGGCGACACTCTGGGTAGGTCGGGTGCTGGGATGCGGCGGCGGCTGTGGAGCGGGTGCGAGGGCTTGAGGTGTGGGTCACAGCAGAGGTGGTGAGGACCACAGGCGTCTTCGTTCCTCCAGCCTGTCCTTGGGGTGTCTCCTGCTAACCCTCCGGTTTCCATGAGGAGTCCCAGTGATGGGGACTTGGCTTGTTTTGTGTCTCTTCAGCTTCAAAAGGTCTCCTCGAAGCTGCACACTTCTGCTACCTTATGGCCCAAGTTGGATTTGGGGTTTATACAAAGAAATCTACAAAGCTTGTCTTAATTGGATCAAATCACAGGTAAGGAATCAAGTAAATGCAGTGTCTGTTTTCCTTTGGAAAGAAAAAAAATCCCTCTCCTTTAGCTAATTCAGAGATGGCCAGCCTCGAGTCTTTGTCACATTGTGGGACGTGCTTCTGAGTTATGTGCTCCAAGGTTAACTATGCCATTAATTGGCCATTTTTTTAAATCAGAATAATTCATTTCCTCTACAGTTTGCCGTTTTTCAAGTTTGCAACCAATGAAGCTATTCAGAGGACAGAAGCCTACGAATATGCCCGGTCACTGGGGGCCCAGAGTGGTCCCCTACCTGACTTCCAGGTGAGCAGGCGTCCGCATGAGCTGGCAGTCAGTGCTGACAAGCTTTGGGTTGTTTGGGGTTTTTGAGTTCTTATGCAAAAAATGATGCCATTTTTGGGAAATCTTCTTGGGAAGACATTTGATCTATAATGCTCAAAAACCAAACCATATTGAATTGAGAATTTTTGTTGCATTTGGTTCTCAATATTTTAAACATTGAAAACCTTCAGTACTTGATTTCACGAAGTTTTATATCAGCTATTTTTAGTATTTGGAGAAGGTGTTATCTAACACGGTACTGTGTGTGTGTGTTTGTGTGACGAACACATATAAAGCACTAGTGGACATGCTTCTGGTATGTGTGCAGCTGCATGGCGGGCCGTGGTCTCAGAGTGTCTCTCTGAGTGTTGTTCTCGTTATGAGCCTAGTGGCTCTGCTACAAGTGTTGGGGGAAAGCAGAGCAAGTTTCTCAAAAGCTTAGTTGTTTACTTGGATCTTACAGCATCTCAGGGAATGGGGGTGGTACGTGATTGGCAAGCAGGGAAGGGAGACATTGTAACCAGAACGTATGGAATAACTCACAGCTTACAAGGGCTGTTAGGGATGACAGGGAATGCTGCAGGACAGCTAAGCTTTGTTTGTTTGTTTTAGGTGTTTAAATTCATCTACTCTTGCCGCCTGGCTGAAATGGGGCTTGCCACACAAGCCTTTCATTACTGCGAAGTGATTGCTAAAAGCATCCTGACGCGGCCGCACGAGTATTCCCCAGTGCTGATCAGCCAGCTGATTCAGGTCAGTCTCTTTGCCTTCCCTGCGGCACCGACTAACTGGGCTACTGAGGCATGTTGGGATTGCTGGGCTCGGGGATGGTGTCGTGACTTGGACACTCATTGCAGTAGACACTAAGAACCTACTTCTTGGATGGATGAAGATCTTGAAATGATGCAATACACAACATCCCTTGGGCAGGGATGTTGTGTATTGCATCTTTCTCCAGGACATTCTTATTTTGAGCCAGTTTAGTCTGGTGGTTAAGAGCTTAAGCTTCTAGAGTCTGGAGTTTGACTGCATCACTGCAAGCCCCACTCCTCCCTATGAAATGGGGCCACGAGGCCACCAGGAGCACAGTGAGGAGCACACAGGGCAGGGGCAGAGAGCACCGGTGGGAGCCCAACACGTGGTGGCCCAGCAGGGCTTGGTTAGGTGTTTCCCCTCCCCCCGCTAGCTCCATTTCTGAAAATGTGCTCATGTGATAGCTACAGAAATTTATTTTGGAAATTTTTATACCTATGTCATAGTACAAAGACTAATTAATGAGTCCTATGGCCTCCTCCCCCAGCATCAGCAGCCGCTAACACAAGGCCAAACTTGTCTTGTCCGTACCACTCACTGTCCCCTGACTTTCATCCCCCACCGCACTCCCCAACTCCTAATCAAAGAATATGTACGTTCCGGGTCAGCTCAGCATTTTGAGTAAAGTCGAGTCTGCGTAATCAGATGGTAGCCCCAGGAGCTGCTGATTACATGCATGTGGCCGGGGGCTCACCTGCAGTGACCTCATGGGCAGGTTGTTTCTGATGACCCAGTGTCATCTGTTCTGGGCATGTCATATGAGCACACTTTAGGAACATCTATGTAGCTAACCAAAGCTTTACCTCTAATTTAACACTGAAACTGCATTTGTTCAAGTACAATATGTTTTGAAAATGGTTTTGCTTGCCCTCACCTGGTTGTCACTGGTGATGACAAGCAGTGGGCTTTTGTTTTTCGTGTGTGTCTAGGTAGCTTCCCAGTTACGACTCTTCGATCCTCAGCTGAAAGAGAAGCCGGAAGAGGAATCTTTTGTCGAGCCTGCTTGGTTGGTCCACCTGCAACATGTGGAGAAGCAGATCAAGGTACAGTGTTTGCTTTTACACCAGGACGGCCTTCTCTTAGGACTTGGCACAGAGACATTTGACAGGGTGGTTTTGTCTGTTGTTTTCACACCAGAAGTATTCAATCTAAACAATATAGTCATAAAGTTTGCGTGTCGTTAGAATTTCCTAATTCCCCAGAAAGGGCTTCAGTGGCGTCACGCTCTCCTAACGCAGAGCCAGGGTGGCCGGGGCTGGGGAGAGGGCTGTCGCCGTGAGCCGCAGGCTGCCAGACGTGCATCCACAGGGCTGGACTTGTTCTCCTTTAGGAGGGGATTGTGGTGTGGAGTCAGGACGGAGCCTTCCCCCAGCAGTGTCCCAGCACACCCAGCTCTGAGGTGGGACAGCTGGATGGTCCAGGACTCGCTCAGCAGGTGGATCTGGAGACTGATAACCTGCTGCTGGTGGTGCCTGCGCCCAGCACCGATCACTTGAGCCAGGGTGTGCGGCTGTTGCCTTCAGGTGAGCCCACGCTCGCGCTGGCCGGGAGGGGCCTGTGCACCTTGCCAGGGACTGCTGTGCACGTGGATGCTTGTGTTTGCTGCCAGGAGAGCCAAGAACAACAGTGGTTTGGGCAGCTCATCTTTTTCTCCTTAAGCTTCCTCTCTTGGGGAGCTCATCAAGTTCATGGCTGCAAATAGCCATATGCTGACCCTGCCATTCCCACGCCAGCGAGCCCTGTGCCCTGGACGCCAGCTGTGTCCTCGGCCTGCCCACACACTTTTCCAGGGACCTCGCAAACGTACCATGTCTGGACTGGGGCCCCCACGGGCACTGGACGCTCCTCCTCATCCACCCCGTCTCGGGAAGGGCAACACGGATTCTTCCAGGAGTTAGAGCCCAAACCTCCTTCTCTCATTTGCAGCTCTAGTTTGTCAGTAAATCTTGTCATGCATCCTACCCACGTCACACCCTCACTGCTTGCCTGATGAGCACCCTTCCTTCCCCGCCCACCTCCTGCATGTACCCCACAGCCTTCAGGGTCCCCTGCCCTTCTAAGAACAGCACAGACTCCTCACAGTGCCCACAGCCCTGCGGGGTTGGCCCTGCAACCTCCTGCACTGCTCCCCACCCCCATTTTGTGCTCCAGCTGTGCTTAGGACCCAGGCCACTGCCACCTCCCCTCCTGCTGTCCACCCCTCTTCACCCATAGATGCCCTGTCACCACTCCCTGGCCAATTGTCTTTCTTAGCTCTTATTTTATCTTCTTAATTGGTTCATCCAGCCCCTACGTCCCCCGATTAAGACTCCTTGTCTGTTCTGTTTCTGATGTGTCTGGTTGCCCGGCATGGTGCTGGTAGGCAGCAGCTTTCCCTGGGTATATATTGAGTTGGATGGAGGGACAGATGGATGGATGGATGGATAAGTGGCCTGTTTCACCTCTGGCAGTGGAAGAGAGGAGTCAGTGGACATGGCAGAGCTATGTGTCCAGAGGCCACTCACCAGCTTGCACTGGGTTCTTAAGTAGACTGGAGCCTGTGCCTCACCTGGTGCCTGCCACGGCCCCTAGGAAGTAAATGTTCTGCTTTCTCCAAACTGCTGATGGTTTCAGCACTTTTTGCTTTGATTATTGGATTTCCAACCCCTCAATGAAAGCAGTGTGGCTACTCGAAATAACTAGTAATAAATGTGTTCAGTGTACACCAGTCAGCTCCTTCTAGTGACCCCGGAGTTAACCTCTGTGACCTTTGGCTTCTTCTCCACTGCCCCTGTGCAGTTCCACAGACGCTCTCCAGTGGCCAGCTAGCCAACCCTGCCAGGGTTCCGATGTTCCCAGTGCTGCCGCCCCCAGGCCCCCTCCAGCCGGGTCCTGGCTGTGGACTGCCAGGGTCTGCACCTGGCCTCCCAGAGCCCTCCAGGCCTGATCCTGCAGCTCTGTACCCAGGGCATGGCCTGCCACCTGGCACACCATCTCTCCAGGAAAATAGACAACTCCAGGAATCCAGGAGCACGGACCCAGGTGGGTCTGCCAAGATGCTGTCTCGAGAGCAGAGGCTACATTGAGTCTGGTGTTCAGGGGGCAATTGGGGGAAGAGACTAAAGTCATCTGAGCTTGGAACAAGTTATGTTGACTTAATGTAGACCAAAAATTCTGGAAGTTATAGACTGAATGGGTTAAGAATCTCACTACAGTAGGACTATTAATACTAGTTTCTTTTGTGATTTGGCTTTTTGTTATAATGTGAGCTTAAATGACCATTCAGAGCATGACAAAATGGCCTAGGCTGCTCCCAGGATCTGTCTTCAGATGGTCCTTCTGAGGTCCTTGTGAGATGCACAAGTGGAGTCGTGAGCGTCTATCTAGAGGTCGATTTGGTGGGTCTTATCTCTGGTCTGTGCCTGTTTTTATCTGTTTGGATAAAGCAAAACATAAGCCAGGCTTTAAAAAACAAAATAACTTCCAAACATTTGGGAAAATTTTCAGTGTTGCTTTCTGAAAACACCGTGGTGAGCCCAGGAAGAAGCTGGTATGTTCCTTGACTTGTGTGTCACAGAATGTCCTGCTTCCTTCTGTTCCATGTCCAGTGGCACTGAGACCACGGTGTCCCTCTTTCCCATTGACAGGGACACTGCCACAGGAGGCGCCTGTTGGACACTCACTTCCGGAGCTAAGTGAAGAAGACTTTGGTGGAAAATTTGCTAATCTGGTACTTTCCCACATATTTTAACTGTTTTCCATGAAGTTCATTGAGTTAGTACCCAAACTCCTTGTTTAGGTGTACGTAGAGAAATAATAAAGATGATGAAATTATTTTTTAAAATTTTTTCTTAAAGAGGAAGTACTTCTAGATAGTTTTAATCCTTAAAATATGAAGAGTTGGTGAAAATGTTGGTAAGGAAAGACAGGGGAAGGGAGACTTCAGTGGTATAAAAACAGTTGCTTTAACTTAGTAGAAGAAATACCCAGATACAATGAAATCCCTTACTAATTTTAACTTTTCCAAAATGGAGAACTTTCCTGATTTCTACACCTTTTCTTCTACAATAGAATTTCTAACATTTTCATTTTTTTCCTAACATTGAGAATGATTTCACCAGACATAGCTGGTATAAATACCTCCTCTGTTTGCCCTGATCATAACCAGGAGGGACAGCCATTTTCAGACAGCCTGCATTCTGGAACCTTCTTTATGAATACCCGGCTCATCAGTAGGCAATTGCTGTAGTTTAAACTTTCATTATATGTTTTACCAAAATATTCTGTCCCTGGAACAGTAAAAAAGACAGTTTAACTGTATTAAAAACAATGTAGGCCGGGTGTGGTGGCTCACGCCTGTAATCCCAGCACTCTGGGAGGTCGAGGTGGGCGGATCGATCAAGGTCAGCAGTTCAAAATCGGCCTGACCAAGATCGAGACCCCGTCTCCACTAAAAATGGAAAGAAATTAATTGGCCAACTAAGAATACATAGTAAAAATTAGCCGGGCATGGTGGTGTGTGCCTGTAGTCCCAGCTTACTCGGGAAGCTGAGGCAGGAGGATCGCTTGAGCCCAGGAGTTGGAGGTTGCTGTGAGCTAGGCTGACACCATGGCACTCTAGCCCAGGCAACAGAGCGAGACTCTGTCTTGAAAAAAAAAAAACAAACAATAACAACAATGTAAGTGCACACCACCCAGCTCTGACCAGTCTTGTCCTTGGTGCACGTACGTGTTCCTCTTCTTCCAGCCAGCCGTTCCCAAAGACACCAGACTCTGCATTCTGAGTACCCCACACTCCCGAACAGGGCTGCTTGTTAAGTACAGCAGCTCTTGTCCTGCTGTGGCAAGGGCTGCGTTCCTCAGTCCCCTCCCTGCTCTGGTCACTAGAGTCAGCTGACCTCTCAGTGCTTCCCCTGCTCTCCTCTGGGTCCTATACGAGGCCCCAGGAGAGCCAGCTTCTGTGTTGCCCTGAGACAGGACCCCTCGAGAACGTCGCGGGACTCAGAGAGCCCTGCAGGATGGGATCGTGCTAACTTGGGCTCTGCTCAGCCTCCTCTGTCTCTGACATCTGCTTCCGAGATGAAGAGACCTGGGCAAGCCGTCAAGAAAGAGGTGAAAGAACCTAAGAAGGTAAAGCACAGCCCACCCCTGGCATTCCCATCCAGCTGTGCAGGGCGGGCCGGGGCAGGTTCTGAGCAAGCAGGCTCAGCTTCCCAGAGGCAGCTGTCCTCATACAGTGGAGGCAAGGGAGAAGCATTAGTTTCTTGGTTAATTAAATTGAACATTTAAAATTGTTTTTGTACACACAGTGTGTAAAGCCTACAACAGTGTAATGAGCGTGTATATATTTGTACATACGTGTAACCACCACCCACATCACTATGAGGACACATCCAGGCCCCCAGGTTCCCTCATGGCCATTACCTGTCAAACCCACCCCAGAGGGTGGCCATAGGGGTCGGACGGCAGCAGTTGGTTCGTTCTTGTTGTGTCGGTGTCTGCTGTAGGCCTACGCCACGGTTTCCTTTCTCCTTCCCCCAATAATAGACATTTGGATTATTTTCAGTTTGGGGATATTATCAATAAAGCCAGGTGAGCATTCTTGTCTGTATTTTTCGGTGGGTGAACGTACTCATATATTTTGGGTATATGCCAAGGAATGGAGCGTTTAGGTCACAGGATAAGTGTCTATTCAGCTTTAGGAGACACTGCTGAACAGTTTTCCTAAATGGCTGTACCAGGTTGCACGGCCAGCAGCAGAGGATGACGGTCCCAGTTGTTTCACATCTCCACCAGCATTGGGTGTTGCCAGTCCTTAGCCTTTAGCACGTTGCTGGGTTGGAGGTATTTCCCTGCGGAGTTATGATGCTGAGCACCTTGTCATGGGCTCATCACCATCTCTGCTCTTCTGTGTAGTGTTTGTTCAAGTCTCTGCATGCTTTTTAACGTTTTTATTTTAATTTTTAAAAATTAGGCCGGGCGCTGTGGCTCACGCCTGTAATCCTAGCTCTTGGGAGGCCGAGGCGGGCGGATTGCTCAAGGTCAGGAGTTCAAAACCAGCCTGAGCGAGACCCCATCTCTACTATAATTAGAAAGAAATTAATTGGCCAACTGATATATATATATAAAAATTAGCCGGGCATGGTGGCGCATGCCTGTAGTCCCAGCTACCCGGGAGGCTGAGGCAGAAGGATCACTCGAGCCCAGGAGTTTGAGGTTGCTGTGAGCTAGGCTGACGCCACGGCACTCACTCTAGCCCGGGCAACAAAGTGAGACTCTGTCTCAAAAAAAAAAAAAAAAAATTAAATGGAGTCTTGCTATGTTGCCCAGGCTGGTCTTGAACTCCTGTCCTCAAGCTGTCCTCTTGCCTCCAGAGTAGCTGGGATTACAGGCGAGAGCCACTGTGCCCAGCCTGTCAGTTTTTAGTTGGGTTGTTTCAATGCCTTGCGGGGGTTCCTCATGCACTGTGGGTACGAGCCCCGTGTTAGGTGCATGCACTGCGACCATCTTCCAGTCTGCAGGTGGCCTCTGCACTCCCAGGGGGGCCTTGTGAAGAACATAGTTCTTCATGCTAATGGAGTTCATTTATCAGGTTTTTCTTTTATGGCTACTGTCTTAAAAATAAGCACACATTTACTTCAAAGTGTGTGTGAACTGTGAGATAAAACATGACACTTCACACAGATTTTAAGCAAACAGACTATTCCAGATCTCAAGCATAAGTTTATCTGCTCAGTGGGCTTCATAGAGAAACAGAAGTGAGAGTGTGTAGGTAGCTACTGATGCTTTTTTCTTTTTTTTAATTGGAAATGAAGTACAGCACGTGAAGAATGAAGTAAATGTCCCCAACACCCACGTTCTCCTAGCATGGGAAACGGGGACTTTGTCGTGCGGGGTCCCATGCTGACTTTCTCAGCCTGCCTTCCCTCCACAGAGCAGGAGGACGTGCAGGCTCTGTCTGTTGGTGTGCGGACGTGTAAAGCTCCTAAAGGCACATTGTTGGTCTGACTTAATTATGGCAACATGCACATAGCACGAGACTTACCACCGTAACCATTTCTAAGTGCACAGCTCAGTGGCATTACGCACATTCACGTTGTGCAGCTGTTGCCCTCATCCCCCTCCAGCGCTTTTTCTTCTTCCCAGACCGAAACTCTGTCCCCCAAAGACGCTGACTCCCTGTTCCCCTCCGGCAGCCCCTGGCAGCACCCCTTCTCCTTCCAGTCTGTGTGGGTCCCACAGCGGTAGGGTCCTCATGGAAATGGATCATGCAGTGTTTATCTTTTTATGTCTGGCTTGTTTCACGGAGCGTGACGTTTGTAAGGTTGTTGTGATGGTTTTTATATTTAGACTGAATCCTGGTTCTCCCGTTGGCTACCTGGGAAAAAAAGGACAGAAGCTTATTTGCCAGATGACAAGAACAAATCAGTGAGTGTCGAAAAATACACACAGTGGGGATCAGGAGGAATTTTAATGATTTGTCTGTCACTTTCAGGACAGACCTGAGTAGATTTTCTGAAGTTTGAAAGTGTCATAATTTATCAGATTCTAATACTGTTGAGCTTCAATCTACTGATTTTTTTTTTTTTTCCTTTTCTTTTTAAAATCTTGACAGATTGTTTGGGATGAAAAGAAAAACCAGTGGGTGAATTTAAATGAACCGGAAGAAGAGGTAAATTACAATTTGAGTTATTATTGGGCATTAGGCTGTAAGTGGAAGGAAAAGCCTTTCTTGCACCTATACTGCGTGGGGTTTTGGCACTCCTTTTGGAGCATCCTTTGGAATGTCCCGGTGGGCGTCTGGGTGTGTGGAGTGGATTTCTGAGTCTGTTCCTCCCTCTGCAGAAGAAGGCCCCGCCCCCACCTCCGACTGCGTTTCCCAAGGCTGTGCAGGCCGTGCCCGCTGGCCCTGCGGGGGTGAATGTGTTCTCCAGGAGAGCAGGTAAGCGTCCCGGCAGCAGAGCTCATTTGGGTAATTCACAGTCCAAGAGATACGGGAGTTTAGCTATTGTAGCAGGTATGAGATGGCATTTGTCACACCACAGAAGGTGATGTCAGTGTCATGAAGATGAATCCTTGGGGGGCAGAGTCCACTTCTCCATAGTATCAAATACCCCTCAGCACACCCTGGGTGTTGAACCGTGGGCACGGGGTGTCTGATGAGTCAGAAACAGAGCTGGAGAGGTCGTGGCAGGAACCAGGAAACCTCCCCTGGGCAAGAGACCACACAAAGCTGCCTGGCAGAGCGGTCCCTCTTCTGGTCAGGCCACGTGTGGCTCCCAGGGCATCTTGCTTGCTTCTCTTCTGCTGCAAAGGAAACAGAGCTGTTGGAAGCTGGGGGTCACTTCCTGTGTGGACCCAAGCTTGCTTCCCCTCCCTCTTTGTAGCTGGAACTAGAGCTCGCTACGTTGATGTTCTGAATCCGCGTGGGACCCAGAGGAGTGAGCCAGCTCTTCCTCCCGCGGACCTTTTTGCTCCACTGGCCCCGCTCCCTATTCCTGCCAGCTTCGCACCAAACCCAGGTGGGCAGGACGGGAGCGAGCCCCAGTGCACTAGCCGCCTGGCTTTGACCCTCTCTCTTTTTGTGTCTCTGGCCTAAATCTCCCTTTAAAAGAATGACCTGACCAGCATGCAAAGAACCCAAGGTTTGTGCTTTTTTTCCCCCCGATTCCTTCACCTTTTCCTCTCTGAGTGTATGACGTGAAATTCTTGTTCTTGGGATGTTTTAAATGAAACCCCAGAGATGTTCTGGACAGAATGACGGCCTCCTGCACTCTCTCGTTCACAGATGCAGAAGAACCGCAACTTGCAGACGGGGCTGGCGGGGAAGGGCAAGCTCCAGCTGGGGGCCAGGCCGGTCCAGAGGTGAGCAGATGTGGCAGGAAACGGGGAAAGGCACCAAGTGAGGACATGCCTGCCAGTCCTGCCCAGGACAGGCTCCTGCCCTCTGTGGATCAGTGCCCAGTCTGTACACAGATAATGTTCCATCCGAATCGTTTGATGCTCGTGTGTATGCAGACGGAAAGTAGAGTGGAGGTTGCGGGGGCTGGGGAGGGGAACAGGGAATTGCTGTTTAAGGAGTAAGTGGTTTTGTTGGGGAAGATTAAAAATTTCTAGTGATGGTTGGTAGTGATGGTTGCACAGCAGTGTGGATATACTTAATGCCGCTGGACTATATACTCAGAAATGGTCACAATGGTAAATTTTATGTGTATTTTGCCACAATAAAAAATTTTATAAAGTTACTCCCAAGTTAAAAAAAAAAACAAGAAATTACCTACTAGTAATAAAAAATAAAGTATACCTTCACCTTAAAAAAAACAAAATCCTGTGAAGTAGAACAGGTCAGACCACAGTCTCTGAAGCTGGATAGGCCTAGGTCTAATCCCGGTCCTCTACTCATTACTAAATGCATGTTTTGTTCACTGTTTAAAGTGTGGGGTGGTCACTAAACCTCCCCAAGCCTCAGTCCCCCCCACCCCCGTAAAGTGGGAATAACAGTAGTACAGATGGCAGAGCTGTCGTGGGGCCTCGAGGACTGTGCAGGACATAGCAGGTGCTCAGCAATGAGCTGCTAGGGTCTGGAGCTGACAGGACAGTAAGAGTGGGACACCACGGCAGACGCTTTCCTTTCCTGACTTCTCACCACGGAGCACTTTACGTGGAAGTGGGTGTTTGTACCAGGCCAGAGGAACAGTTCACTATTTTTCTGCCTGATGTGAAAGACTTAAAATTCTCTGGGATTTGGTAGTTGCTGCATTTCTTGTTTTTCCCCGCAGGTTTTAGGTTCTGCAGCACTGCACCCTGGCTCCGAACTCCCAGCCTCCCGACCTGACTGTCCCCAGGGAGGGGAGGTAAGGAGCACCATGCCCGTGGCTTCCTGCAGCTCAGTCTTCTTCTCCAATTGCCCCTTCCTTTAAAAATGGATGATAATGGGCAGGAAAAGTCAGTTTAGAAATGAAAACACGTCAAAGTGTCATATTCCTAGGAAAAAATTGTGATTGCGCAAAACTGTTTAGGAGCTCCAAATAGGGCATGAGGGGTTTGAGGTGACCATGGTAAGTCATCCCTCAGCACAGCATGGAATGATCTGGAATTTCACGATGCTATGAGGTGAAGCTGGCTAAGGGCAAGGGCTGGACAGGCTCCCTCTGCTCTGCCCCAAAACTAATGGTTATTTGTTAATAACAACATTACATTAAAATAGGAATTTTAAGCTAACTCTGGCTTTTTTCCCTTTTGAATTATATCAGTTCTAATGGCATCAAAAAGCTTTTGAAATTGAACTGACAGCTTGGACATGCATGTTGATTTTCTGTCTGTGTTTTGTGTGTGTTCTTGCTGTTTTGTAGCTTTCGCGCTGTAGTTCAATGAGTTCATTATCACGTGAAGTAAGCCAGCATTTTAATCAGGTACCTGTGGCTGGCGGCTCTCGCTCACTCCGAGGATGAGCTGTGTCGCTTTGTTGTTCCTTTAAGAGTGCCAGAGCGGGCGCGTTGTGTGTGCTGTGCAGCCACCCCACCCCGCTGTCTCATGCAAACACCACGTGGCCAAGGGTGCAGTGTTCCTTTCTTTAAATGGCCTTAAAGGGATTCTGTTCTTAAGTATCCAGATGCCTTGATGATTGAATTGACCCCAGATGCTCATAGTAACGTTGCCCTTTCTCAATTGGTTTTCAAATGAACGGGCCTGGGGCGCAGCCTCGCTGTGTGGGCGTTCCTGGTCGGGGTGCTCTCCTTTGGAAGGAGGGGTTCTTCTTTCTGATCAAGCATGGCAAGGTTTGTTTGAGGCCAGTGAGAGTGGCAGTGACGGCGTCTTGCAGCCAGTCTGGGTGGGGACGGAGGAATACTCCATCTTCCCTGTGTATCATGGGACTGAGCCATGTCCAGTGGCTCAGCAGAAAGGCTTGATACGACACTGCTGCCTGCACATTGGAACGCTGGGTTTCAGAGCTGGGTACTTGAGGTCTGAAGTAACCAGAAAACCTACTAACTGCCTAGACTGACACTAGTGTGACGTCCCAGTGCTCTGCACTCCTTATCTTTGCATGTTCTGGTGTCTAAAGCATTTTACTCTGCATGTGGCTTTTCTCTTTACCATTTTCTCTGAACCATTATATAATTAAACCCAGTATTGCAAGCAGTATCTTTGACCTGCTTCTGTGCTTATTTAGCAGTGTTATCAACCCTTACTTAGAAGCAGGGCCTGTGTCTGTGGCTGAAACACCAGCTGTTGTGCAGCACAGCCTTGCTGAGGTGACTTCTCTGTGGTTCTCAGGCTCCTGGCGACCTCCCCACCGCAGGGGGCACCGTGCCCTTCTACAACCCTGCTCAGCTGGCACAGGTGAGTGGCCCCTGTCTTCCCCCACATGTGACACCAGCTCGCTTGCTGACTTCCCCACCCAGTGCTCGGTGACTATCAGCTTCCCTCCCCGGACTGTCTTCATAATGGAAACGGTGCACCACCGAGCGACGGCCCACGGGCACCATCCTTTCCCTGTCCCGCCACCTCTGCCTAATTGATCTGAGTACTCAGCTCCTGATGACCTCAGGGACTCCGTCGGGCTTCCCACGGCTCAGGCTCCTGCTCTCCTCCCTCACCCTGGGGCAGTCGGACTCCCCTGCTGTTGCCTTTCTCGGCCATTTGTTTGTCTTGGCCACACACATCCTCCACTGGCTGCTGCTTTTGTTTTATGTTTCTGTTTTTTTATTTCGTTTCCTAGCAGCTTCTTAACAAAAAGGTGCACAGGTGAGTTTGTAGAGACCCTTCCCGTCTGAAAATGCCTCTATCTTACTGGTGTGTTCTGTAGGGTTCTTGGGCAGAAATCATTTTCTTCAGAACGGAAGGTGGTTGTGCATTTTCTGGTGCCAGCTCTTGCTGAGGTCCCGGGACCGTTCTGCGTGCAGCTCCCTGCAGGGTCCTCCTTGCTTCTCTCTGGAAGCCGGAGGGGCGTCTCCATCCCCAGAGCTGTCCAACTCCCTCAGGCTGTGCCCTCGGCCACCGCTGGCCAGGTCACACGCACTTCAGTGGAGAATGTTTTTGAATGTTCGCTCTGGTTCTCCTTTCTGAGCCATCTCTTTCCTCCTTCTGGTATTGCCTGTAGAGAACGGACTGGCTGCCAATTTAGGGGAGCTGAGGGGGCAGAGGTCTAGGGGTGTCCTGGCACTCAGGCCCCACTGCCATGCCAGTCTGCCTGCAGCGGCCCGTGGGCGGCCTTACTCCTCCCAACTGCAGTCCCGCGACAGCCCGCGCTCCCTGCCCTGCTCCTTCAGGGTCCCTGCATCCCGGTTCGCTGCCTGGACGGCTCTTGCTTTTCAGCTTCAAGATTTGGTGGTTTTCTTCCCTCCTGTTAACCTTTATCTTACAGTTTACCTTTACAAAAATCCCTTGACTTTGACCTCAGGTTTCGAGAGGGAGCAGAGGCTGTACCTGGTGTCCTGCAGTAGTAGGCCAGGCACAGGCCACTGTCCCTCCCTGGACTCACTGAAGACTCAGTGTGCCAGCTCTGCAGAATTGGCCTTAGGTCTAAGAGCCCTGAAAAAACCGAGGCACCTCTTGTCCGCCGAGATAGCAGAAGCTGCTGGCAGTCAGCACTCCTAGGGGAGCCTGACTCGGTGCGGACTTATCCGTTCTGGGCTTTGGGGAACAGAAACACAGCGTTGCGCTTACCGACCTCAGCAACCTGTGCAGTTACTACATCAACCCGCGCCCTGCTGCATCGTCCCCAGAGGTCAATATTGTCCATTTCTTTTCAGGTCTCTACCACCTCTGGGAGCTCAAGGCCGGGGAGGATTGGCCAGAGGAAATACCCGGCATTGAACTAGAGCCGTCCCTGTTTGGGGTTTGCATTTGGAACCCTGAGAAGACTGTTCTCCACCAAGAACCCAACTGCCTACCTATGGCCTCGCTCCTGTCCCCAGACGGGGCGGTCACTCAAAGCTGGCCACACTCTGCAGCTCCTGCCTCGCCCCGTCTTGATGAATTATTTCAGAAATTACCCCGCCGTTCCTTTCAGATGCTGGATGGAAAGAGTGAATCTCTGACTCAGAATCTTTCACCGAAAACAATATTACTTAAGTCATTTCAGATGATTTAGGATATAATATTCTCATTCATTTAAGAATATTCCATTCAGCGAATCTAGAATTCTTTGCTGCAGGAGAGCAATGCGTCGGTAACCTGGGGCCTCTCTCAAAACTCAACTGTGAATGGTTGCCCCGTTAATCCTGGGGCTCCTTTAGGATGTTGGGAGGAAAGAGCGAATGTGTGACTCGAGAGGGAGACACAGCCACCTGCCCTGCAGCCAGGGGCTGCTCTGCCCTGACCGTTCCTGAGCCTGCGAGAACGACCGCAGGAAGCCGCGCTCACAGGCGGCCTCAGCAAAGCGTGGGGTTCGCTTGGCAACAGTTCACAGGTTTTGAGAGCGGCTCTGGCTACTGAAGTGAATTTCTCTCCTGTAGCGACAGCCTCGTTTCACTTTCTGTGGCCTAATTAGGACGGTGGGTGATTTTGTGCACCTAGAAGACAGGCACTGCGCCTCCCCCACGAGGTGCGGCTCAGCGGTTAGGAAAGGGCCCCAGAGCGCTGCTCTCTGCCGCGCGGGTTCCGAGCGATGGGCCACTGCCAGAACTGCGACTGTAAGAGACCTGATTTCATTGCGCACACAGTAGTCTGGTGAGTCTCCTGTCGAGGCCCTGAGGCCGCAAGCTGGAGAAGTGCTACGCCTTCTCAAGAATGGTTTCCGTAGTTCCGTCTAGATGGCCGGCTCTCTCTCACGTGGGCGTCATCACTTGAGTATTGGTGACATCTTGAAGAAAGTGGCTTATACAGTTTCCTGCCAGCAGCTCTGGAACCCGAGAGCCCTCCCGCTGCTCCTTGCTGACCCGGCCGTGAGGACCGGCCTGGGGAAGACCTCCGCTCGGCAGACCCAGAGCTTTAAGGCTTCATCGACTGTTCTGAAAACTGTTCCTGTTCTTGTTAAGACTAAAGAGACTGAGAAAAAGAAAAGATTTAAATATTTATAAAAATCAGTAGGTAATAATTTCTGTAGGCTCTGCTGGGAAGACATAAGCAGTTAGGTATTTTAAATTTTAAATTTAAGTGTAGAAATTGTAGAATGCGGAATTAGCACGGGCCCGTCCCAGTTTTCTGTTTCACATGATCATCTAGGAAAGACCCAGACTGTTTTCCAGGATGTTCCACAGATGTGTCTGACTGGATGCATTTGTCTCGTCACTCTGAGAAAGGCCTGTCCCTGAGGACAGGCAGCCCTGTGTCCCTCGGTGAGGTCCTGGGATTCCGGGACCTCCTCCAGCCCGGCCCTGCCCGCTGTTCTCTGGTGGACTGCTCACCACTTTTGATTCGAGAAGCTTCCTGCAGGTGGGAGCTGCTATTTTTCCTAAATGCAAATTGTTACACTGCAAATTGTTGAATAAAATATTTTGCGCGCTCAAGCACTTCACGCGTGGGTTCCCATTTGTTTGTTGGAAGGTGGGGAGTGCAGATGTCCTGCAGGCAGCCTGGCAGACGCCTCCATGCCTGGCTGCCTCTGGCCGTGGGGGTGGGGGCGCTGCCCGGGGTTGAGGGGGGAATGGGGAGAGGACAGGGGCGGACTGGCCGAGGTAGGGGGTGAGGGCAGGGGCGACCTGGCCGGGTTGGGGGGACGGGGAAGGGGCGGGGTTGGGGGGAATGGGGAGAGGACAGGGGCGGACTGGCCGAGGTAGGGGGCGAGGGCAGGGGCGACCTGGCCGGGTTGGGGGGACGGGGAAGGGGCGGGGCCCCGTCCGGGGTTGGGGGGAATGGGGAGAGGACAGGGGCGGACTGGCCGAGGTAGGGGGCGAGGGCAGGGGCGACCTGGCCGGGTTGGGGGTACGGGGAAGGGCGGGGCCCCGTCCGGGGTTGGGGGAATGGGGAGAGGACAGGGGCGGACTGGCCGAGGTAGGGGGCGAGGGCTGGGGCGACCTGGCCGGGTTGGGGGGACGGGGAAGGGCGGGGCCCCGTCCGGGCTGGGCCGAGCGCGGTCCTCCGGCCGCCAGGGGCCGCTGTGGGCCGGGGCGGGCGGCCGGGCCGGGAGGGCGTGAGCGAGCGCGGAAGGCGGTGCGCGGCCGGGGAGCCAGGAGCGAGGTGTGCGGCGCGCGGGCCGGGGCCGGCTTCGCGTCTGGACGACAAAGGCTGGAAGAAGCGGCGAGGTGACCCTGGGTGCGGGGTGGCGCAGGGCCGGAGGCCGGGCGCGGTCGTTGCCCCGCGTGCCCGCGCTCCGGCCCGAGCGGCGCAGGAGCGAGCGGGGCGAGCGGATCGGTGGGTCGGAGCGGGCGGTCGGAGCGTCGGAGCGAGCGGAGCGGCGAGCTGGGGGTCGGACGGGAGCGGGTGGGGTCGGGAGCGGGGGTCGGGTGAGGGTCGGGCCGGGCCCACCCGGCGGCCCCCGTCGCTCCCGCCGCGGAGTGCGCCCCGTGTGCGCGGCGGGCGCCCCCTGCCCCGCGGCCGTCCTCTAGGAACGTTAAATGCGCCCGAGGCAGCCGCGGGCCCTGACCTCGGGGTTCTCCTTTAGGAATTGCGGGGACTCCCGGGCACCCAGCCATGCAGCAACGGCCCCTGTCCCTTTGGGACGCCCCCAGGCCTGCACTGGAGCCGCTGCCGGGTCTCTCTGCTGTGCTGCGCCCGGTGACCTCTGACCTCGTATCCCTGACGCTGTGCGTTGCCGGCGGCCCGGGCAGGAGGCCCGGCCGGGGAGGGTCCGGCTGCGGCCGCCGCTGAGGGCTGGCGAGGCGGCCCGGCTATGCCGTCCGAGTCAGTGTGCCTGCGACCTCCGCAGCAGCCGGAAGGCAGGATGCTCAAGGGGCAGCGTCCAGGCACAGACAGAGACCTCGCGCAGAGCTCCAGCCCCGGGTCCCCGCCCTCCACCGCCTGCCAGGGCCCGGAGAAGAGCCCCGTCCTTCCTTGCAGCATTCCCGCAAAACTCAGCAGTGGGGACCCACAGGCGGAGGCCAGACCCATCGCCCCGCATCCTCCGGCCAGGCCCAGGCTGGAGCGAGCCCTGTCCCTGGACGACAAGGGCTGGAGGAGGCGGCGCTTTCGAGGCAGCCAGGAGGACCTGGCAGCCCGGAATGGGGCGGGTCCGTCCGGGGCCTCTGAGCAGAGGGACGGCCCCCCGGCCCCCACCCCCGCTCTCTCCCCACCCTGCCTGAGCACCTCCTTGCAGGAGATCCCCAAGTGCCGCAGGGGCCCAGGCAGCGAGGGCGGGAGCCCATCTCCGGGGGGTAAGCGTCTCTCCGGGGTGCTCAGCGGCTCCCTGGACCTGCTGCCCAGAGACGAGCTCGGCTCAGCGCGCCCCCCCAGGTTGGCCAGCCTGCTTCCCCCTCGCCCCCCGCCCGCCATGGACCTGGACGTGGCCTCCGACTCCCTGAGGACGGCAAACAAGGTGGACGCGGACCACGCCGACTACAAGCTCCGAGCACAGACCCGGCTGGTGCGGGCCCACAGCAGCCTGGGCCCCGGCCGGCCCCGGAGCCCCCTGGCCTGCGACAGCTGCTCCCTGCGCTCAGCCAAGTCTGCCTTCAGTCTCCTGGCGCCCATCCGCACCAAGGACGTCCGCAGCAGGTAGGGCTGGGCGCGGGTGTGTCGTCCCCAGCCTCCCTATTAGCCTTGGAGGCAGGCTGCTCGGGAGCCGCTGGATCTGCGGTCACAGATGGCGTTAAGATCCACCAGCAGAGCAGAGCGAGTCTGCCCGCAGCCACCCCTGCGCATCCCTGGGTCTCCCCGCATCATTCCAGAACTTTCCTTTTGTGTTTGACAATCGTTTGCATGATGAACCCCTGAAAACACATCATCTTGACTCGCTTAGATAGGTGAGCTCTCCGTGCTATTCTGTATCTTGTATTTTTGCTTTCTTGTTCTCACTTTGCCGAGCACAACTTCCTTGCCGGCACGAGTGCCCCTGCCCCGACTTCTCGCTGTGGCAGTGACGAGGGGGCACGCTGAGCCCTGCCTTCGTCTAGCCGCTTTGCCCGGGGCGCACGTGCGGGTGCACTCCGGCTGTTGCTGCGAGGGAGGCTGTAGCCAGCAGCCGGGGAGGGTTCCTCGGGGGCGTGTGCCGGTGTCTTCCAGATGGACAGGTGGACGTGAACTTGCCGGGCCCCTGCAATGACCGTGAGGGCACCCCGGTGTCCACGCATGCTTGAGGAGGGGAGAGCAGCCAGGCCGGGCTTGCTGGGGACCACCCCGTGCGTTCTGGCTGTTCTGTGGTTAGATTTGCTGAACACTCCATTGCCAGGTCCGCTGGCCCCTGTGGCCGAGGGGTTCACATCACGGGAGGATGCACTGGCCTTGGCTTCCTGCATTTGGAGTTTTGTGACTTCAGTAATTCGTTTTGATTTTTTTTTTTTTTGAGACAGTCTCACTCTGTTGCCTTAGCTAGAGTGCCGTGGCGTCAGCCTAGCTCCCAGCAACCTCAAACTCCTGGGCTCAAGCGATCCTCCTGCCTCAGCCTCCCGAGTAGCTGGGACTACAGGCATGCGCCACCATGCCTGGCTAATTTTTTTCTATCTTTTTTGTTGTTGTTGTTGTTAGGCTAATTTCTTTCTATTTTTAGTAGAGACAGGGTCTCGCCATTGCTCAGGCTGGTCTCAAACTCCTGAGCTCAAGCGATCCTCCCACCCTGGCCTCCCGGAGTGCTAGGATTACAGGCGTGAGCCACTGCGCCCGGCCCATGTTGACTTTTTTTATAGCTTGAGAAGGACCTGGGTGCTGCCCTGGATGTTGTCCCTCTCCTGACTCCCCGCTGCACACCTCCAGCCCACCTCTCTGAGGCCAGAGCAGTGAATTCACCAGACGGGACGGGAGTCCCAGAGACTTTTGAGCTCGGCCCCTCCAAACCCATGACCTCTCCCAGGCCTGGTCTCATCCTGGGACCGGGGGTCTCGGTCTCGGAGCCTGTGCAGGGCCACCCTGCTCCCTTCCCTAGCTCCCCTCACCACGGCCATGGTGCCCAAGTCCTGTCAGTCCAGACGTGTTGGGCATGGGAGGAAGAGGAGGTGTGAGGTGGTCCCCGTGTTGGTGTCTTGGGGCTGCTGTAACCAACGACCACAGGCTGGGGGGGTTAAAACAGCAGAACTTGACCCTCTCGTGGCGCCGGCAGGGCTGCGCGCTCCCTCCGGGGCTCTGGGGCAGACCCTTCCCCCCGGCTCTCGCCCTCGGATCTACCACCTGGGGTCACACGTGGGACAAAACCATCTCACTGGTTAAAACGATTCACTACCAGCTTCTTTTTAAATGGTGAGATTTCCTAGTACGTTTAAAGTATTGCTACATTTTTAAAATCCCGCGCAACTCACTTAGGTACGTCCTTTGTGGAAAATGACAGGTCTCAAAATTGGATCAGGTTGTTGTTTACAGACAGCCGGGAATCGCTGGGGTGATGGGGCGTCTCACCCAGTCCTGCTGCCAAAGAGCCAGCCCCCGTTTCCAGACCTTTGGTTTGTTCTAGAACAGGGGCCAGCAAGCCGTTTCTTGTCAAGGCCGGGTGGTCTTTTCAGCTTTGTGGGCCCGAGGCTGTGTCACGGCTCAGCCGCGGTCGTGGTCGGAAAGAGCCAGGGACGCCACGGGACAGAGGGGAGGCCATGGTGTGTCAACGAAGCCTTATATCTAGGGAGTAAAACTTGGATTCTCTATGATTTTTATGGGTCACGAAATACTATCCTGTTTTTCTTTTCCAACTGTTTAAGAGCGCAGAGACCATTCTTGGCTCGTGGGCTGTGCGCGGAGAGGCCGTGCCTGGCCTGGGCGGGCTGGCCAGTCCCCGCTCCCGAACGGGCCTTTGCTTGTGGAAAAGGAAAGGCCGACTCCCATGTCTGGCAGCCGGCCGCGTTGCCGTGGCCGCGTTGCCGTGGCCGCACCGGTGTCGCCCGCAGAGCACCTGCCAGTCCTGGCCAGGGGCGGGCGCCGGGCGGGGCTCTGCTCCAGGGCCCGGACACAGGCCAGTGCCCACGGCCTGCTGCCACGCGAACCGACCCACGGCTTCCCCGGTAGAGAAGACAAGCAGGTGAGGTGGCCTCGGGCGTCCTAGCAGGCTGCCTCGGGGCCAGCCGCTGCTCACCTGCGGTCTCCCATCTTCTAGCACCGTGTGGTGGGGGCGCCACTGCACCCTGCCGGCCGGTGTGTGCCGCGCCATACCTGCCCTGGTAGGAGTTTCCAGTTTTGGGGGCGAGATAAGCAGGAGCCCCCTCCCGACACGGCGCACGTCACGCCCCGTGAACGTGAGCGTGGGGCGGCGACGGACTTCTCACGGGCGCCACTGCCAACGCTGGAGGAGGCTCCCGGCGGCGGCTCAGCCCACGAGACATGCTGCGGGAGTTGCGCGAGTCCCCCCCCCACACACACCACGAAGGAAGGACCGTGGGCCCCGCGTGCGTGCTGGGAGGAGGAGTGAGACTTTCCTGGCAGGTTAGGGTGACGGGAGTAAGCCGAGGTCTGGAAGGCGGTCTGGGGTCCTGCAGCCTCAGCACGTCAGGGCCCCGGCGCGGCTCCCGGGGTTCCTCCCCAGCGGGTGGGACCAGGCCCCAGATAACCAGGAAGAAGGGACCCCGGAAGACTCGGAGGCAATGACCTTGAGGAGTCCAGACTCTGTCAAAAGGAGTGCGTGCTCCCTCGCCATCGCGGGTGTGAGGCGCGGGGCCGGCGGCGGTGGCAGGGGTGTTATGGGGATTGCTGAGCCGATACCATCCGAACTGCCGTCCACCCTGGCGTCACCGGGCGGGACAGACAGACGCGGCACCTGCCAGGTGCCGGGTGCCAGTGAGCCTGCGCGTCCTGCCCGGAGACGGGGAGGAGCCTGGCCGGTGCCAACGGGGACCCCAGGTGGAGGCCGCGCGTGGGTGCGTGGTCTGGCTCCACAGGACAGACGACCTGGTTTCTCCCACAGACAGACGGCTGGGCGGGGGCGCGTCGTAGAAACGAAGAGACGCGAGGGACAGTGTGGACGTCACCCACGTCCCGACTCGGGTGAAGGGTGGGGTGGAATTGGGCCGGAGCAGGGCTCCAGAAGGGGGCTCCCCGAGAGGAGAGGGGCTGCAGGCGGTGCGACTGGGGAAACCGGGGGCTTCGCAGGGGGCACTGGGTGTGGAAGTGCTGAACTCTCCTCCCGCTGCGGAAGGACAGGCGTCAGACGGCGCCAGACCGCAAGGGGCAGCACGGTGAGCTGTTTGGAGACGGGCATGGCCACATCCGCCTGGGTCAGGGGCAGCTGCGTCTCTAAGTGGTTGGAAACGAGATGATTGTCGTATTTCATGGTACGAGAATGTCACGTGGCATTCTTAGTTCAGCGTCCATATAAATAAAGTTTTATCGGCACAGCCGTGCCCAACGTTTCAGATGTGGGTTTTGCACTACAGTGACAGAGCCTACTACTCGTGACAGAGACCAGGTGTCCCATGAAGCCAAAAATACGAGCTGTCGGCTCTTTGCAGAACCGGCTCGCCAGCCTCGGGGCAGAAGCCGCCAGTGTGGAGCATGCCCTGGGCCGGGGCAGGACAGGGCTGGGGTTTTTCGGTTTTGTCACAGGCTTTGAGAGCAATCCAATGTGCTTGGCCATCTGCATGCTTCACCGTGTTACAATCTGAACGTGGATTGAAGCCGTGGGGTGTGGCAAAGACAGACGTATTTACTCGGGGCCTTGGACCTCTGGGGACGGGGCTCACCGTCCCCCAGAGCAGAGCGTGGGCGCCGACTGGCCCTCGAGCCTGCAGGGCCTGCGGAGAGTCCTGACTCCGGGGGCGTGGCTCCTGCCACCCCGAGGGGCTGCTGTCCCCTAGGGGGGCCCTGGGTCCCCAGAGCTGTGTCCAGCTGGCCCTTCCCTCCTGTGCCCGGGAGGACTCGTGGGCTGCTGCGGCGCCGGTGCCTGGGCCCCAAGGCCGTCTCTTCCCTCTGCAGGAGCTACCTGGAGGGGAGTCTCCTGGCCAGCGGGGCCCTGCTGGGGGCGGACGAGCTGGCCCGCTACTTCCCGGACCGGAACGTGGCCCTCTTTGTGGCCACCTGGAACATGCAGGGCCAGAAGGTGAGCGGCACTGCACTGGGCTGGGCGTGATGTGAGTGCGAAGGGGCCGGGATGGAGGCTGGGTGGGTCGCCTGGGGAGCCAGTTCCCCGAGTAGCCTGGCCCGGGAGGGACAGAGCCCCACACTCGCCCACCGCGGCCCACAGCACAGGGCAGTCAGGATGGGCGAGGGGTCACAGCCTCCTTTGTGAGGGTCCTCGGTGGCCACGTGGCTGCAGAGGGCCGGGAGTGCAGGAGGCGGCCCCGAGCCCCCCAGGATTGCATCTGTGCTCGTGGGAGCAGCCCGCAGTGCCCGCGCAGGGGGGACACTCAGAGTAGGGACAAGCAGCACGGGCAGGTGCCCAGGTGCTGAGCCAGCGTGGCCCAGGGCCAGCGCAGCCTCGGCCGTAGACTCAGAGGTGGTTGTTAGACAAACTCGTGTTTGGAGAGGGAAACTGAGGCACAGGCGGCCCACCCAGAGCTGGAGCATCTTTGGTGTCGGGCTCCTTGGAGACCCAGTGCACAGCTGTTTGTCAACTGCCAGGCAGATCCCTTCTGGGCTGTGGCCTCGGTTTCCCCTCATTCAGAGGAGTCTCCCAGCACCACCTCCAGATGCCGTGGCTGGGACTCGGGCAGAGCGCACCCGGCCCGCGGGGAGCCTGCTGGCCTCAGCTGACCCCACATGGCTCTTCCCCCAGGAGCTGCCGCCAAGCCTGGACGAGCTTCTGCTTCCGGCCGAGGCAGACTACGCCCAGGACCTGTACGTGGTCGGCGTGCAGGAGGGCTGCTCCGACAGGTAGGGTGCACCCCTGCTCCCCAGGCCTCCCGAGTCCTGCTGGTGGGCTCTGAGACGCCCACGTGCGGCCAGACACGGGCAGCCTCTGAGCCTGGGGTGAATATGCGGGTCAGTTTCTTCTCAAATGGCGACTGAGAGAATTTAAAGTGAATGATGTTTTATTTTTTGTAATCAGATAGTTGATTTTAGAGAAAGGCAGCCAGGTGCCAGGTTGGTATTTTGTGCAGCCTGGTGCACCCCCCCTTGCCGAGGCTCTGCCAGGCTGCCCAAGTTGCCATGGGGACGAGCTGTGATGAGAACAGCAGGGCCCCCTGCGCCAGACTCCCTAAAGGAAGGGCTCAGCCCGGGGTCCCTGGACCCCACCTGTGCCTGCCTGCAGGTCGGGGCGGGTGGGGTGCTCTGCCATGGTGGGAGGGGGCTCAGCGGAGCCGTGGCAGGGATCCAGGACCGGCCCACACCGGAGCCAGAAATGTGACCCCCGGCAGGCCCCGGCTCCTGGCCCTGGAGACCCTCCTGTTGCAAACAGGCGCCCACGATGCCCTGCTTGCTCATCTGCCCTTCTCAGTGCCAGGCTGGAGCCCAGATGTCAGTTTCCCCTGTAGCTCCTCCAGGGCCCCGGGCAGCGGGGGAAGGGGTGGAGCCCGAAGGCCCAGCACGCCCCCGCAGCCCCCGTGTCCTCCTGCCACAGGCGGGAGTGGGAGACTCGTCTGCAGGAGACGCTGGGTCCCCACTACGTGCTCCTGTCCTCAGCGGCCCACGGGGTGCTGTACCTGTCCCTGTTCATCCGCCGGGACCTCATCTGGTTCTGCTCAGGTGAGTGCAGCCCTCGGGTGGGCGGGACCCCACACAGTGCCCCCCTCGCATGGCCCACCTTCCGCCCCGGCCGGGAGACAGGGTCCAGCCTTCGGGGCCGCCGTGGCTGCCCTGGCATGAACACGACCCGCTGGGCACGGGCGGCGTCCGGCACAGTAGACTGAGGGGCTGTCTGCCTGCCCGCGCAGAGGTGGAGTGCTCCACGGTGACCACGCGCATCGTGTCCCAGATCAAGACCAAGGGCGCCCTGGGCGTCAGCTTCACCTTCTTCGGCACCTCCTTCCTCTTCATCACGTCGCACTTCACCTGTGAGTCCCCGCGCCTGGAAGCCTTTCCTCTGCACTCCAGCCTCTGCCCGGGGCGGGGAGCCCGGCGCTGCAGGGTGGCTCCATGCGTCCCAGGCACGCACGTCATGAGCACCCCAAGCCCAGACCCCGGTGTTGGGGACTGTCGCCGGCCGGGCCTTGTGGGCACACCTGTGCTGAGCGCAGGCCGGAGGTGGGGTTCTTTGTGGGGGGCTGGAGTGTGCAGGGCCCCGCGTCCCCGCCCGGCTCTATCCCCATAGCTGGAGACGGGAAGGTGGCGGAGCGGCTGCTGGACTACACCAGGACGGTGCAGGCCCTGGCCCTGCCGCGGAACGTGCCGGACACCAACCCCTACCGCTCCAGCGCAGGTCAGGCCTGTGGCGGCTCCCACGCGGGGTCTACTTCCGTGCCCTTCCGCGGTCCAGCAGAGGCAGCGTCTGCAGCTTCTGAGAGTCGGGGTCCAGCGGTTGCTCCTGGTGCCCAGCCCGCACGCAGGGCGGCCAGGCAGGCGCCCAGGCCCGAGTCCTCACTGCCCGCCCCACTCCTCCCCCGGCCGTGCGGCAGGGCTGAGACTTGACTGTCGGTGCATGAGCCTCAGGCTGCTGCTCCGGGTGCGAATGCTGCCCGCAGAGCCCAGGCTGCTGCCCCGCCTCCCTGCCAGCAGCACCGAGACCCACTTCCTGTTGGGGGAGGGGAGGGGAGGGGAGGGCCTAGACCGGGGACCCCGTCACCCTGCCTGGGCCCGGCTGCCTGTGGCTGAGCCCTGATGCCGGCATGTGCTGGCTGCAGCGGACGTCACCACCCGCTTCGACGAGGTGTTCTGGTTTGGGGACTTCAACTTCCGCCTGAGCGGGGGGCGCGCGGCCGTGGACGCCCTCCTGCAGCGGGGCCCAGAGGCGGACGTGCCGGCGCTGCTGCAGTACGACCAGCTGACGCGGGAGATGAAGAAAGGTGGGCCACCTGGGGGGCCGCGCCCAAGCCAGCCGGTCCGAGGGCCCGTCCCCGCCTGAGCGCCTGTCCCCTTGCAGGGTCCGTCTTCAAGGGCTTCCAGGAGCCAGACATCCACTTCCTGCCGTCGTACAAGTTCGACCTCGGGAAGGACACCTACGACAGCACATCCAAGCAGAGGACCCCGTCCTACACGGTGAGCGCCACGCCCGCCCTGCCTCCCAGCCCGCCCCGGCCCTGCCGCCGTCCACCTGCCAGACACGATGGCTTCAAGGCAGGGACCTCCTGTTAGCCAGGCGCTCACGCTAGTATCGGGTCAACCTGGCCCTAAAACTCAGTTCTGCACCCCGGCCGGGTGGCCTGGGTCCAGTGACCCACGTCTGAGCCCCCTGGGGCAGAGAATGGGGCCGCTGGACCCTCGTACCCACTGGCTTCCTGAGCTGTCTGCCGGACACGCCTGCTCCCTTCCCGCTCTCCCCAGGCCCACGCCTCCGGGCCAGGCACCTCGTGAGGTCTCCGGGAAGCCACTGAGGCAGAGCCGGGTGGGAGCAGCGAGGGACAGGCCTCTGGCCCACAGACACCAGCGACAAGATGCGCATGAGGGTGGGGGGCCAGGAAGGGGCACAGGGGTCTTGCTGAAGGACTGCAGGAGAGGCGTGGGCCAGGCCCCACGGCCCGAGGTGCGTAATTGGTCCCCCTGCTTCTGGAATCTCTTCCTGAAGGACCGGGTCCTGTACAGAAGCCGCCACAAGGGTGACATCTGTCCAGTGAAGTACGCTTCCTGCCCTGGGATCAAGACGTCCGACCACCGCCCTGTGTACGGCCTGTTCCAAGTGAAAGTGCGGCCCGGGCGTGACAAGTCAGTGTCTCGTGTGTGCGTCCTCCCTCTCGGGGCCTGGGGGTTGGCGGCACGTGGACGTGGGTGTTCCTGTGGCCGTCCTATCGCGCGCGGCACCAGATAGGAGCGGGCGTCCCTGTGCCTGGAGAGGCCTGGGAGTCTTCAGGGCTAGCCCGGAAGCTGTCCCGTGGCCTGTGGGGCCACGCTCTGGAGTAGCAAGGAGGCAGGACCTGGCGCAAAGCTCCAGGAAGTGAGGCTGGGCGAGCCCGGCGGGTGGCAGGGCCTGCTGGCTGGGGGGACGGAGGCCCTGCCCCTCCGCCACGGGGCAGAGCGAGGGCCCTTCCCAGCGCTTCTCTCCTCCACAGCATCCCGCTGGCTGCCGGCAAGTTTGACCGAGAACTGTACTTGATAGGAATTAAAAGACGGATTTCAAAAGAAATTCAGAGACAGCAGGCGCTTAAGAACCAGAACTCCAGCACCATCTGCACCGTCTCTTGACGCTGCACGAGGACTCAACAGAGGACTCGCCAGCTGCAGTGTGGGAGGGCATTTGACCAAAGTCACTGGAAGACGGAAGCGTCCGCCACTGGGTGGCCTCTCGCCCTCTTTGGGACCCCCGTGGGCCAGCCCCGGCCGTCCCGCGTTCTTCTCAAGTGGGGCTGTGGCGAGGCCGTGGCCTGCTGTGTTCGTGTCCCGGCAAGGAAGCCGGCCCTCGGCCTGGGCGCACCTGTCCCGGCCAGGACGCGCCCCCACGGGCACAGGTGGAGCTTCACTCACCCTCAGGGCAGGCAGAGCTCGGACCCCGCACCATGGCACCACACCCCCAGCAGCCCCCACGCCCCAGAGGCAGCCGCAGGGTCCCCCACACTTCCTGCCAGTGAGCGCCCTTGTTCATGCCTTCACATTCAGGTCGATGTCTCTGGACCTGCGTCCTCCTGGCAGCCCCTCACTCACTCACACTCACACACACACACACAGCCGGGCCCTTCCTCCAAGTACCCCACGCCACACGGTGTCTGCACAGGCTGAGTTGGGGCCCCTGGAGTGCCTGAGAGCCCAGCTGACAAAGCCAGACACTTGGACCTGATGCGGTCCCCCCCCTGCTAGGCTGCAAGTCACCGCCTTGGGACAAGGAGGCGAATAAGATGAGTAAGACACTACTTCCCGTCTCACGCCGTGAAAACACGTCGCAGTTTGGTAGCTTTGGCCACAGAAGGACATTAGTAGAGCAGGGCTGGGAACTGCCGGAAGCTTAAGAGTGTCACCGCCGTCCACCTGGCCAGCACCCAGCACCACGTCCGGGTGTTTCCCTGGAGAGGGTTCAGAACGCGTCCTTGCTCTTTGCAGCTTACCCCGTCTTTTGAAAAAAATAATGTAGGCTTTGGATGTGTGAAAATCTAGGGACATTCAATCTAGTCTTTCAAATTATTTATTTTTCCATATTTATGTTTTTAAATAAATGCATATATTGGCTCTTAAACTCTCTTTCTAGCCAAAGATTGAATCTTGGGAAGGAACAACCTATGTGTACCCTTTTCTTGCAGTGTTCTTGTTTTAAAAGGCTGTAAAACTCAAAGGCAAAAAGTCTGGACTCAGCCACCAGTTGCTGACCACACTGCTACCTGACGCTCCGCTGCCGGGCAAACCCTGTCCCATTGTGCTGACCTGGAGGTTCCAGTGAATAGTACGTGAAACTTCCAATGTTACCTTCCAAAATATGGAGGCAATACACACCTAATCTGTCGGTAAAAATGAGAGAAATTCCATTAGCAAGAGGTTACAGGCAGGCCTGTCTACACCAGTCTGTACGTATGAGATTTTGTTCAAACAAATCAACCAATTAAAAATCTCATTGTTGCAAAGATTTTTATGGTAATGGGGCTTGAAATGAGTGAGACTTGATGGGTTCTGTCTAGGCATTTTCTTTGACCCAACCACAGGGAAGAGGTTTTAACCTGAGCCCGGAGTGCGTCCATTCAGCAGGGTACCAAGCACTTCATCTCCTTGGAGGATCGTTATGTCTAATACGATCACGGTTCAAAAGGCAAGCGATTTGCTTGATCGTAGACATTAGATTTTAGATGAATGGAATTCCACTTGGAAAATCAGCTTAAAATTCAAATTAATGCGATGGAAGTTGGCCAATAGCAACAGAAAATGAGCTTCATAAAGAACTGCGAAACACAACCGAAAGTGAGGGCAGTTTTCTAAAATTCAGCTCTCGTTCTCTCAACATGTTCGCCTGCGTCTTTCATTCAACGAGCATTTCCCGGGTCCTGCAGGCCCAGGGAGAGCGCTTGGCGGGGGCGGAACCAGGGGGAGCGGCGCCAGGCCAGCGTCTTGCTAACCTCCTGAGCACAGCACACCAAAGCCTGGTTGGCGGCAGTTTCTGGAACGCGGCTGGGCTGCTCAGGGCCCCACCCTCACCGTGACACTCGCTACTGAACACAAGGAGCAGCTTCCCGTGACCTCCGTGTGCTGCCGGGGCTTTGCCCCAACATGGTACCACTAAGAAGTCTCCAACCGAAACTTCAGTTGGAATGTATTCTACACCATCCTCCTCTGGCTCCAGCCCAGCAGGCTGGATTCCACCAGGCGGGGAGCAAGCTGACTCTCCCCAGAGGCAGACTCAGTCCTTTGGCTGGTGTGTTGTGAGGGTTCCAGGTTCCCAAAACATAACAATAGGCCAGTGCTGGGAAAACCGAACCGCGATTTTCCTCCTCTCCCACGCCAACATGGCAGCACAGAAGACTTATGTGACCCCAAAATACGTGGGCATTCCCACCCACCCGGCAGCAAGCAAGCAGTTTTGCAGGAACACCCCTGTGTGTGCTCTAGTCCTGACAATCCTGGGGACGGCGAAGATCCCACAGAATGAGGGCTCCGTCCACCACGGCCCCAGGCGCCACCCACCCGTCTGGGCCTTCGGGTCTCTCACCCGCTGGCTCTAAGCTGGGCTCCCACGAACCCCTCTTTGGCTCTGATTTGCTGGAGCAGCTCACAGAACTCAGGGAATCACATTTACCAGCTCATTACAAAGGACGCAGAGGTGTGTAGGGCGAGGTGTGAGGGAGGGGTGTGGAGCCTCCCTGGCCACCCTCCTCCACGTGTTCAGCCACCCGGAAGCTCCCTGAGCCCCATCCTCTCAGGCCTGGCGTGGAGATGCCACTGGATGGGCGCGGATGAAGATGGCAATGGTGTGGAAACGGACGGGACACCAGGGTGGACCCAGCACGGACGGCGGGGAGCCCAGCACGGCCTCCCGCATCGTCCTCCTTGGTGCGGGCAGGGCCCCTCTCGAATGGGGGTCTTGGGCTGGAGAAAGGAGGACGGGAAGCCAGACAGTCTGTCTCCCGAGGCCCAGAGCACCCCAATAGTCACAGCCAGGCTGTCCGGAAGCCACGAGCCAGACCCGCGGACAAAGCCTCTGTATCGATAGATACTTAAAACAGTATCGCAGCTTGAGAATCGACAGAAGTAACTAACGCTTGTTAGTCTGACTGCCTTAAAGTACGCCCTCCCTCCCCCGTCTGCATGGCGGAGCTGGGCTTCCCAGCCGTTCAGAAACTGACTAGAGACCGTCCTCCTCTGAGCAAACCGGTGCAGCACGATCTCGCGCAGTGTGGTGGCTGCTGCAGGCCACCGAGCTGTCCCCTAGACTGTGGCCGCACTCACGACTCCAGGTGGTTAACGCAGGTTCCCAGACCCAAGCTACTGACGCCCCCGGCCCCCACCCCACACGGCTCCTGGGGTGATTCCTGGGTGAGAACCACTGGTGCACACCGTGTCAAAAGTTTTAACCTACTGGAATTAAAGCATATCTGAAAAAATAAATTATAAAAATTAATAAAGAAAAAAAAAGTTTTAACCTGTCACCGCTACTCCTAAGCCACGCGGCCTATGGCTGTCCTGAAACCGAGTCCCGAGGCTGTGTCCCCACGCCGAGGTGCCACGCCGTGTGCCGCCGCTGCCCGCTCCCTCGGCGCTCTGGCCCCGCGAACACCCGACACCTCCGCAACCAGGACACACCTCACAGTTAAAGGACAAGAGGCTTAGGGTATGGGTGAAGCCGGACGATTTTCAGGGAGAAAGGTCGCTGTTTTAGGAAAGCTGTCAGCTAAGACAGGCCTTTAACAGCTCTGCCCTCAACCAAGGGAGACAGAAAACACCGAGGTAAGAGACGTTCACCATTTTATTACCGGCGACGATGGCTGTGCACGCACACACGCAAGGCAGGCCGTGCCCCCTCCGGTCCGGCTCGTCAAAGTGAGTCCTGGGATTCGTTGCAGAACACAGGGGTCCAGCATGTGCAGCCTGGGCCTCCCAGGAAGCCAGGAGCCCCCGCTGCTGCCTCCCTGCTCAGTGGCCAAGTTTCCAGGAACTCACATGGGCCCCACGGGCCAAGAATTCCTGACCAAGGTGGACGTACCTGCCTGGTCTTGTCATGGCGAGCCACTTTTAGTCTTTCTGCACTGCGCCTGGTCTCTAGCGTGGAGTGGTGCAGGCGAGCATTAATCCCGCTGACTGGCATGTTCAGTCCGGAAGGAATGGAAACCAGGCAGGGGTCCGGCAACGTCCACTTCCTTCACCAGCTGAAGAGGAGCGACCCCCGTGCGCACTGTTCACGGAACGAGGCGTCTTTCAACCGAACGCGCAGCCAGGCAGTGCGTGCAGAAGCAGGCTCTGTCCACAGCCGCTGGGCTGGCCGCACCCGCAGGGACTCTACCGGAAGAGCCGGTAGGTCCTGGGCAGGCGCCCGTCCTTGCTCGACAGCGCCGCCTGGATGTGCTCGTACGTGGGCAGGTCCGTCAGATCGCCCAGGGCGGCCACCGCTGGTTTCCCTCGGAGCATCTTGGAAGCCACTCTCTTGATGTCTTCCGGGGCCACGTTGCCTAGCACGAGAGCAAGAGCACGTCAGACGTGGTATCTGTCTCCACATCAAGACTGTGGTCACTGAACCGACCAAGGGGCCACCAACCTACGTCATTCCCACCATGCTGGGCCAGCTGCTGAGCTAAGGCGGGGTGAGATGACAGAAGTGAGTTGTTGTTAATAAAGGGGGAAGTGTCAAAGTTTAAAATGATTTTCGAGCGCACAAGGACATACCCAGCGGGAGTTAATATGTTGAGGAAAGACCAAGCTCCTTGTCTCATGCATTAACTTTATGACAGGTCTACAGAAAAAAACAACCCAAATTCCTCAGGGCTGCGTGGACAGAAGGTGGAGTCGGAACGAGGGGCCCACAGGGCTGCCCAAGGCAGCAGCCTCGCACGCTGCCCGGCCTCTGGGGGACCCGGGAACCACTGGCAGGTGAGTGGCGAGAACCACATCCTCCAAGGAGAACGCCCCATGGAGATTTGTTTTCCTTGGGGAGACTGCACACTCATGCTCAAGGATCCAAAGGGGATTCTTAAAGGAAGGACAAGGGCCCATGAAGGGCAGGGCAGGACTTCATGCCCAGGAGGAAGGCTGAAGTCCCCTCACAAGACCGGAGACGCCACTGGGAGACGTCCAGAGGCTGAGCCTAGTAAGCAGCTCTGTGCCAGGCTTCGCAACAGGCCCCCAGAAGACGCCCATGCAAGCAAAATCTGGCGCACAGCTGGAGGAATTTCAAGGACCACCTGAAGGTCACTCACTCAGGTCAAGACGCCTGCCTGGCAGAGAGCCACAAACAGCAAAGTGCCGTCCCAAGTGACTCTGGCATTCTGCTGAGTGCTTCCCACCCCTTAGTTCACCAAGTCCTCTTTCTCATTTACTCCAGAGACAGAGTCTCACTGTCGCCCGGGCTGGAGTGCAGTGGTGTCATCACAGCTCACTACAGCCTCAGACTGCTGGGCTCAAGTGATCCTCCTGCCTTAGCCTCCGAGTAGCTGGGACTACAGGAGTGTGCTACTGTGCCAGGCTCATTTTAAAAAAATGTTTTGTAGTGATGGGGTCTATGTTGCCCAGACTGGTCTCAAATTCCTGGCCTCAAGCAATCCTCCCACCATGGCCTCCCAAAGTGCTAAGATTATAGGTGTAAGCCACCGCACCCAACCTGTGCCCTCTTTACAGACCCCGAGTAGCAGTGACAGCCCTTCTAGGGCTGTAGGCATGGTCACATGCTAAGGTGCCAGTTAGCACAGGTGAAGCCAAGAAGTGAGACAGACTCTGCAAGCGCATGGCCCTGCCCTCAGCCCTCCTTGCTGAGGACACCTGGTGAAGGCCCAGGCTGGCAGATGGGGCAGCCATGCCCATGGGGGCCCAGAAAAGTCCACAGGAAGGCGAGAAGGTATCATCTAAGCTCTGACCAAGGCCTTGAGTAGCCGCCTGACTGCCAACGTGGTACTCACGGATGAGCGTGCACAGCTCGTGGGGCAGCTTTCTGGAATGTGTGGCCAGCACCTGCCTCCCCACGTCCTCGAAGATGACGGGTCTGGACTCCAGGTTCATCATGAGCATGGACATCAGCTGCGTCTTGGCACGCTCCAGCTCCACCTGGGGCCAACAACCAGTGAGTCTCTACACCGTCACCTGCCCGTCACAGCCCCGCAGGCTACCAGAGGTACTGATGGGAACCTGTCCTGGCAAAAGGCCTCTGGGCACCCTGAGCTGGAAACCAGGACAGGAAGGGATTCCCCTGTGCCCAGGCGCAACTCAGGAGAAAGCCTGCCACGTTTCCTCCCTGGCATCTCTGGGTAAGGCTGACACTACACCTCACAGAGTTTGTGCAGCATGTGAAACAGGGAGAAACATGCTTCGCTCGAGTTCCTTTTTACTGTCTGAGTGCCAAGCAGCAGCAGAAGGTAAAATGTTAATCTCCCAAACTCCAGGGCCCCAAAGCAGCCACATGGAAAAGCAGGAGGAAAACAATGCTACACAGAG